CAGTGTCTATATGTTCATGCCCATGTCAGTGTCTATGTCTTTGCCCATGTCAGTGTCTATGTCTTTGTCCATGTCAGTGTCTATGTCTTTGTCCATGTCAGTGTCTATATGTCCATGCCCATGTCAGTGTCTATATGTCCATGCCCATGTCAATGTCTATGTTTATGTCCATGTCAGTGTTTATATGTCCATGCCAATGTCAGTGTCTATGTCTTTGTCCATGTCAGTGTCTATATGTCCATGTCCATGTCAGTGTCTATATGTCCATGCCCATGTCAGTGTCTATATGTCCATGTCCATGTCAGTGTCTATATGTCCATGCCCATGTCAGTGTCTATATGTCCATGCCTATGTCAGTGTCTATATATCCATGCCCATGTCAGTGTCTATATGTCCATGCCCATGTCAGTGTCTATGTCTTTGTCCATGTCAGTGTCTATGTCCATGTCCATGTCAGTGTCTATATGTCCATGCCCATGTCAGTGTCTATGTCCATGCCCATGTCAGTGTCTATGTCCATGTCCATGTCCATGTCAGTGTCTATATGTCCATGCCCATGTCAGTGTCTATGTCCATGCCCATGTCAGTGTTTTTATGTCCACGCCCATGTCAGTGTCTATATGTCCATGCCCATGTCAGTGTCTATGTCTATGTCCATGCCCATGTCAGTGTCTATATGTCCATGCCCATGTCAGTGTCTATATGTCCATGCCCATGTCAGTGTCAATGTCCATGCCCATGTCCGTGTCTATGTCCATGCCCATGTCCATGTCAATGTCAATGTCCATGTCAGTGTCTATGTCCATGCCCATGTCAGTGTCTATATGTCCATGCCCATGTCAGTGTCAATGTCCATGCCCATGTCCGTGTCTATGTCCATGCCCATGTCCATGTCAATGTCAATGTCCATGCCAGTGTCTATGACCCATGTCCATGTCAGTGTCTATGTCCATGCCCATGTCCATGTCCGTGTCTATGTCCGTGTCCATGTCCATGTCAATGTCAATGCCCATGTAAATGTTAATGTTAAGAGACATGGACGTAGGCATGGACGTGGACATTGACATGGACATGGACATGGACATGGACATTAACATATCCATGCCCATGAGTGTAGGGTAGCCTGACGTGCACCTGTTATAGGTAAGAAATCCTGCAGAAAAAGTCAGTTATACGATATATTAGGGCCTACCATTTGAAGTTATTGGAGGGATTTTATCGAAAAAAGTACTTGCTCTTGCCAAAATACGAATTATACTTCATATACATTGCTACAATGTGTTTTTTTCTATAAAATATTATGTCTCAAAGTTTTAATTAATATCTGGTAAAAGCTGAAAAAACATCTGGTCTCAATACAAAATCGCAGCACCCCTCTCCACAACAATCCCCACCCCCGCCCCCAAATATCAAATGGTCGTTCCCCTTCCCATACACAAAAATAAATAAAGATGTATTTCCTGATGTTTAGTAAATACATCAGCTCTATTTGTCTCATTTTGAAACGCCGCCACAGAAATTGGATGGGCGACTCTTTATAAACACTCAACAATTAGAACGACTTACCCCCTCGGCGCGAGGCAATCATTGTAAACCAGAAGTTAATGTGATCAGCCTACTTACTTGATTATCATTCAGTTCCCACAAATCCACATAAGACTTTTGACCCGTGAAGATTCCGGAGCAGAATAGGTCTTCAGCAACCCATGCTTGCCGTAAAAGGCGACAATGCTTGTCATAAGAGGCGACTAACGGGACCGGGTGGTCAGGCTCGCTGACTTGGTTGATGCATGTCATCGATCCCAATTGCGTGGATCGATGCTCATGATGTCAATCACTGGATTATGTGATCCAAACTCGATTATTTACAGATACTATCCTGGAAGAATTCAGGAATGATGATGGCAAGCATTTAATGATGGGCTACGCCTTTATCAACTCCATGTTTTTACATGAGGAGAATAAACGCTCAGTTTATGAATACTATCTTGTTTATGTAACAGCGTTAATTTGTATACATACTATAAATACAACTACAGATATAAAAGGAAAAAAGATGATATTTTCTAAGTATTCATAACTATTGATAGGTTTCTAACTCGACCAGGCGATTGAAGCGGACATACGTCATGATGAGATTCACGGCCCCAGCGAGTGAGCGAGTGAGTGAGTGAGGTTTTACGCCGCTTTAGCAATATTCCAGCAATATCACAACGTGGGACACCAGAAAAGGGCTTCGCACATTGTGACCATGTCGGGAATCGAACCCGGGTCTTCGGCTCGACGACCGAACACTTTAACCACTAGGCTATCCGACCACCCCTCCGCAAGTCGAAGAATTGCAAAGCCTACCCGCTTCATCAACATTAAAGATGAGGGCCCGAAAACCATCAGTGTCAAAGGTAACTGCAGAGCACAACCTGGGGAGTGAAACGTTTCATAGGTTAGTCTTCGGTGCTGTTAACAAAAATGTGCATAGAGAAAGATACCCATAGTTGCTCCCTTACCTAGACTGTTAAACAGTCCTTAATGATGCCGTACTTTCTGTATGAAACCTCGATTCGCTGAGGTTTCCGTCATTACAATTAAAGTAACATGCTGAAAAACTCTTTTAAATGGATACCTCTAGGCAATTACGATAAACAGCGTGAATGTACAGTTATGTTAGTTTGTTTGTTTACGTCACTCAGCAATCTGACGGCAGTTTGTAAATAATCGAGGCTGGACCAGACAATCCAATGATTGATATTATGAGCACTAATCTAGGCAACTTGGATACAATGACATCAACCACATTAGCTGGCATGGCCACGCGATCCCGTTAGTCGCCTCTTACGACAAGCAAGGGTTGTTGAAGACCTATTCTAACCCGGATCGGTAATGGCGGTACAGTCATGAATACAGTCTGCAGAGCTACAGATAAGCTGCGAATTTGCGTAAAATACCCCCAAATCCCCCCCCCCCCCCCCCGCCCCCCCCCCCCGCCAAAAAAAAATAATAAAATAAAATAAAAAATATATATATTCAAAACGCAATTACTTTCAATTAACTTGCGTACAGAAACGCTTGCATTTAATGAAAAACACAAATGTATAAAAACAGTACGCGTCAATGCCCAATGAAGCTTTTTCAGCATGCATAATTTCCGAAACACAATTACGAGCTAATTTACTTTCCGAGTCAAACCAATATATTAACAACAGTTATAAACATCTAAAATAGTATTTCATTTTTTAAAATCCTAAAATGTTTACTAATTTGGGGAAAAACTCAATAGAGTGATGAATAGATGAGTGAATAAATATTGGTTTCCCAATGAAGAATGTAATAACTCAATTAGAATAGAAACCCTGGAGTAAAAACACAATTGCTCAAAAGTTATCTGGAGCTCTGAATACACATTATCTAACTAGCGGGATACGTTTCAAATGCATTTGCAGTCGATGAATGACATTAGGCAAAAGTAGGTGAGGTGAAATGGGGTTTAACATCGCGTCCAAGATTTTTGCACTTATATAGCGACGTGAATGTACGTGTGTGTGTTTGTGTGGCTGCTTGTACTAGTCCGGACTGCTGCCGATTTATAGCCGCAACTCTACACAGCGAATAGTGGCGCTGTACATATGACGAGGCCCCCAAAATAAATTGTCCGCTTGGCATGCTGGATGTCCTGCTCCTCCGATTTATAGTGCTAGTCCACTGAGATACCATGCCGCAGTTTAACATGAATACCCCACTCTGACACAGTATACTGACCCCGAGCCGACCAGTCTTTGTTTTAGCCCCTTAATGCCGAGCGCCAGACAGGGAAACAACAAGTACCATCTTTTAACGTCTTTTAACGCGGCCGGGGATCGAACCCCGGACCTTCCGCTCTCCGGGCGGACGCTCTACCACTAGACCACGGAGGCGGTCTTAGGCAAAAGTAACAAACGTAAGTATTTATCTTCTAATCATAATTTTGAGTGAGAAATGATTGCACCAATACCCGTCACCAATGATTAATTTTCTGTATATCTGTATTATATCGTATTACTGATGTCCTAGTGAGGCCTGCGGTCAATATACTATGTTCGTTATGACTGGATTCTTATTTTAACCCGTTTATTGTCAATCATATGGTTACTATAGTATATACACGCATGTAGTATACAATACTGAAAATTTGACGATTGATTCATATTCAGTGAGTGAGTTGGGTTTAACGCCGCTTTTAACAGTATTCCAGTTATATCACGGCGTGTCAGCTTAATGTGGGAGGAAGGCCCGAAGTGATGCAGGTCTCAGATGTTTACCACTTCGGTGAAACCCACGAGCACGGGTATGGTGCTGACAGACCTGATTCATATACAATATTCCCTCCAGTATGTACCGAGATTTAAAAGCGCGATCTTATGGCATGATCCGTTGACATGATTCAAGATTTTACAGGAGAGAAATATACTTTAGCAGATATAAGACAATAGAAATCTCACAATGGAGGTGGATTTCGCGAAACGTAGTACTATAAGTTAAAGTCAAACAAATCGCCACTCTTTGATCGATTATGTCTGATCGATAATAACGTTGACCCTGGCGTCAAAAATAATAATAATGATAATAATTATGGCAATGTGTGTACTTGTATTGTGCAAGACTGCATACACCAGCTTGGTGCATGCACAAAGTACCCCAGTCAATTGATACCAGCTGCCAGAGCGTTATTGTGTATATAATTCAGCATGTAGGGACAGACTTTGTCGAGATAATGGCAAATGTCGTCTATGTTAATACATTCCTATGCTGCGTCAAATATTAATCTTAGTACAACTGATGCATATCACTCCCAAACGTTTTTACCCATTGGTACTGAGCAGGATTAAGAAAACCTTATAAATTGTTTCAGAAATAATACACAAAATCACTTTGTCCAATCAATTACCCTAGAAAATGTTCGCTCGACATGCTTGATGAAAATACTGTATTGACAAAGTAAATTTGTTCTTGATTCAGTTAGGAACATACGCTCGCAACGTGATGACGTCGTACATTGGAAAATTTCAAGGTGTATACAACGTTCCTGAAAAGGTGATATTTTTACTGATAATCCTTGAAATGACATTTCACGCTTATGTGCTTGCACTCTTTGTTTTTTTTAATTGTTTATTGTTTAACGCCGCACACAGCTATATTCCAGCTATATGACGACGGTCTGTAAATAATCGAGTCTGGACCAGATAACCCAGTGATTGGTTGCATGAGCATCGATCCACGCAATTTTCAATCGGATGACTTGCATCAACCGTCAGACCACCCGATCATGTTAATCGCCACTTACGGCAAGCATAGTCGCCTTTTACGGCAAGTATGGATTGCCGAAGACCTATTTTAACCTGGATCTTCACGGGTTGATAACATTTGTAATTAGCAATGGCGTTAAACCTGACTCGAGCAGGCAACCTAGTTATTGACATTAAGAACATCGATCTACACATTTGAGATACACATTCACCCAAGTCACTGAGCCTGACCGTCCGATCCCGTTGGTCGCCCCTTCCGCGGGTACATGTCATGTTGATATATAACGCTGTTGTTGTGGTAATTTGACCTGTAGTGTATGATTCTTGGCCATGTATTTGAGATATATTGACATTGAAAATGTCGCTATGGAACTGGGTCTAGTGGTAGAGCGTCTGCCCGTAGAGGGGAAGTACCGGGGTTCGATCCCCGGTCGCGTCATACCAAAAGACGTTGAAGGATGGTACATGTTTATATCCTGTCTGGCCCTCGGCATTAAGGGGCTAAAACAAGGACTGGTCGGCTCGGAGTCAGTATACTGAGTGGGGTATTCATGTTAAACTGCGGCATGGTATCTCAGTGGGCTAGCACTATAAATCGGCATCAGTCAGGACTAGTACAAGCAGCCACACAAACACACACACACACGTGCATGCACGTCGCTATATAAGTGCAAATTAAACCCAATTCCATCCTATTCCACCTCCACCTGTTGTAAGTCAAACATATGCCAAGAAAGGGTTCTGTTTACAAAGAACGTCCTTGTTCACGTTAATGTCCAAATTGAGACCAAGATGATTACAAATTGGTACCTATAAACCAAGAACATAATCAGGGCGTATGAGAGATTCAATTTTTTTAGCAAATATTATGCTTTAGACTGTTGAAGAAAGGGATTGTCTGCAACAAAAATGACATCGTTGCAATGTGTTTTTTACCAAAACATATTAAGGAATAGTTATAATTAATAAAAAATATATCTGGTCAAAACGTCAAAATTATTTTATTTGTGTGGAGCCCTTTGGCCCATATAAAAGAAATGCAATGCCAATAATACAACGTCAAGCACATTACATGGATATAATAAAAATATATCTGGTCAAAACGTCAAAATTATTTTATATGTGTGTTGCCCTTCTCGCCCATTTAAAAGAAATGCAATGCCAATAATACAACGTCAAGCATTACATCGTTATAATAAAAATATATCTGGTATCGCAGCTGTAGCTGAAAGTTTATGTATTCTCAATACAAGCTTTTTTTAAGTAGAAGTAACCTGAAACAGAATTTTAATTATTTTTAAACTAAAAATAATTTAAAAATACACAATAGAATTGATCGAAGGGCGTAAAATTATACATAATACCCAAGGAAAATCTGGAGACCTAAGGCACGTGAGAGGAACGTAAGACTACATCGAATGACATCGAGGTTGATGACAAGGTCATCGTGTACACGTCACAGTTTGAACACAAGGGTGTTTGTAAACCTCAAGCAAATTAATGCAAACCTATGGCTTGTGTCACATGTCAGAAAAGATATCAACCCCAATGAAACGCATTAAATGCACATAAAGCGGCTCTAATCACTTTGTTCTGCCACTCTGTACATACCAATACATGCAGAAAAGCCACATGGTCGGGTAGCCATACCGCATCACAAACTCGATACCTCTGGGAATATATCGCATGGCGAAGGTATTAGTATCCATGCCTTTGAGTATGGAGTGTCCGACAAAAGCCAAGCCTGATAACGCCATCACACCTTTTGTTACATTAATGTGACCTAATAATTGACGGTAATATTATTTCCGTCGATGCGGACTTGCGTAAAGTATGTACACCGGAGTTTACGTTAACTCCTCGATAGACACAAAACATATTTAAGTTTATTCTTATAAAATAAATAAGGCCACGATAATTACTTCAAGGATTGTATTTGAAGCAAAATTGTAGACAATAGTAGTGACATCTTTCGAAGCAATAATGCAACCCAGTCTACGTCAACCCTATTCTCAGCCAATCAGGACACCAGAAGTCCGCTCATAGGCGTGGCCTATGTTTGGGCTTATGCGCCTATTAGCAAAAACATTACTTGGCAGCCAATCAAATACTCTGAAACCACTTGCTGTTTATTATTGTACTATAAATGCTGTTCTAGCTTACGTTACTCGCAGTTTCTCCCTACCTGAGATACACATCGTGGTACACACAGGCGTGGTGACCACATCGACTGTACTGCGAGAACTGCCAACCATGACTGGGATAGTTGTCTCAGTTCTGGTAACTGTGTTACTGGCGTCTTCGGGGAGTGCAACACCGACTGAGGGTAAGGACGTGTCATCCTTTTTAACATCATATATCGCATGAAACACACATATGTGTATTCTGCGATCCATGTTGTGCTGTCCAGGTCGTTTGTAACTTGGAGTTGTGTCCCTTTGTCATGCCAGAATCCATTGATCGTAAACTCACAGTTATTCCTGATAAGGTTCTTGGTTGTAGCACCATGTTGGTGGAATTAAGTTTAAAGTCCTCACTCAGGAACGATATAACATTTTTTTTAAATTTTGACTTCAGATATTATTATATCTGACCATCTTGTATGTTATTGATGACCGTAAATGAAGATTTTATTTCAATTAGTTCTCTGAATCCTTTAATGTTGGTGTTTTCGAATCCATTATCCGCCAGCCTAGTGATATCACTGGCAGGAAAGTAAAATTGTAATTGCACCCACTTTATCAATTGTAACAAAGTGTAAACGTTGTCAGTATCTTATGAGATTGTTCTCGAATGCATCGTCCTACATCCGTACCAAATGTGACCCTTATCAGTGTCTTAATAAACAGTTTATATTGTTAATGTTGTCGATGGCTCTATTGCATTGATATCTGAGATTTGCGAGGTGTTATAACATACCAATCACTCGTAATGGTGACTGAATCAGGTGGTGAGAATAGGTGACTTGGTTGATGACGTCAGCGTGCCCCGATTGTCGGATCCAGACGTGATTATTTACAAGTCGTTGTCATATGGATGGGATATTGCTGACAACAAACAACAAAAAACAAACAAAAACAAAACTAAATTGCCAACAATTTACATACAATCTTTGATCACGCAAGGTCAAAAGGGTGGTCCATTTTTTTGTTGGGATATTATTGAAATAAATCCAAGTATACATAAATAGTATATATGGAAGTAATATCTCACGAAAGATCGCTAGTTCTTGCAACCAAAATCCACATGCCATAAGCACGGTATTTGGTTGCTGGCTTTTCCTGTAACTATTTCAAAAGCAATTCCCTTTATCATATATAAAAGCCATTAAAAAGTTTTGAAAGTGAAACCACGTAATAGTATGTGTTCAAACATCCTTTCCCGAGATTATAAAAAAGTAGAAGTATCAGTGTTTCAGGTACTGTCGTAACAAGAGCCATGCACATGTCTGTTGCAGATAACGCCATATGATGCGTCAAAGAAATACCAATATGGTATTGAATCGATGTTATGTCAGACTGTATACCATGTTTATGTAATACAGTTTTTGTCATGAAAAACATTTTATATCAAATGACGAAAACACAATGACTTGTCGACACGATAAGCGTGGTACAGATTGTTGTAGGCTGCATTACTATTTACTTCCAGACCCACATTGTAAGGATAAGTCAAACAGATGTCACACATATGCAAAGTCAGGGTTCTGTGCAAAGGAGAGTTCCATGTACACGTTCATGTCGATACACTGTCAGCGGACTTGTAATGTGTGTGAGTATTGTTTTGATGATCCACTATATTTATCCCTCATCCCAAATGGATCGGGTGGTCATTGTCGCTTTCCTGTCAGTGTACCATCATTGGTGCTGTCTTCCAAAACTGGTTTGTCTGATCAAGGGTTCCTTATTTACACAAGACTGTCTTTGCCAAGAAGCATATGAAACCAAGAGGTAAAACGTCAGGCAGCAAACGATATGGTCACTCTAGAAAATCCTTGAAACGTAGCCAGAAATGGATGGCTTCTGACAAAGATTGGAAATGTTTAATCTCCACATGATTCAACTTTGGTGTTGCATCTTAACATGCTCAAAATCTACATATACCTTCATGTCATGTTTCAAAATATAACACATAATACTGCACAATAACTACAACTCCAACTGTCTCCTGTGCCATAATTGATAAGGATGATCGGCTGGTTTGGAGCCTGTATATTGATTTACTTCCAGGCCCTCCTTGTAAGGACAAGTTAAAAATATGTCCAACCTATGCGAAGATGGGATACTGCTCTATGGGGCATAACATGTTCCCATTCATGTTCAGAACCTGTCCTGAAGCGTGTAATCTTTGTAAGTATTGTTTCATTCAAAAACGCTATCAATACCTCAATAAAATGTTATTGGGTTGTCTGACTGCATTAATGTAGCTGAAATATTTCTGTCTGAAGCTTTGATGAAGAATTCACTTTTCCCTGTTGTTGTTAGCATTACATAAACTGCAAAGACTAAAGGATATTCTTTTTAATAATAATACTAACACTCAGAAAAAAAGGTTCTGCTCCTTCTTCGTGTTCACCTATGTAAGAATTGTTCGAATCCAGGTTAGTACACTGTTTCACAATGCCATTTGATTGTCATGAACAGACAACTCTGAACAACGAATTGTTGGGATCAGCCGACAGGTTCACCTGTGCCTAAACACTGCAAAACGTTTTGTCCCGATTATTTTCCTGACATGTGTGAGTCTTGATTGTTACACTTTCTATTTTACAGGTGGAGACTCTAAACATCCTCATCAACATGACACAACATCGCTTCCTCCACCACGAACAGTTGAAAGTATGTCTTGTTTTTGCATTGAGATTAACTCAAATAAACTGATCACATACTCCTTGTATGATAGGAGACTCAATTAATTGGACCGCATGGACAAACTCGTTTCACACACACACATGCCTTGTCGACATGCCTTAGATTTTGTTATCCGTGTCATACACATCCCAATGACACACTTCCCTTGGAACATTGTCAGGGGTAATGATTAAATATTCTATTATATTTGTATATATTCCACAGCTTTAGTCATCCCTGAATGCGTTTACGTAAGAGGTGAAAGGGAATTTGTAGGTTTGTAAGAGGATTGTGAAACAGTTGTGAAAGCTAAATGTGGTCTCCAATATATACTCTTTTGTTTTCATAACAGTTTCAGTTGTCATGTCGAGGCAACACATGTCAGTAGCACACAAATTGCATGTGTAATGACGTTCAGATCAAACACAAGTATCTTGTGGTATTTGTATCTTAAACGCTCAATTCCATTCAGAATTTAGTTACCCTTCAGGGGATGAATTAATAGTCACTTGGGCCTTTATTGTATTTAACACATGTCCGCGTCCTACCCATTTAACTTTACGGCTCAATATACTCTGCTAAGGCAGAAGTCGACTCTTAAAGACTTAGCAACAACATCATACGCTGGAAGTCTGTCTCAAGTTGAAGATTAGCTTTTTCTACCGTCGGTTCCTGATGCACGATCAAAAGCCGGAGTCACTGTCCAGCAGTGAAGACATAACCTAGTGACGTAACTGTTCACATATAAGACGTATGTGACGATGTGTGGTTTCAACATGTACTTGTTTACTTAAAGCCTTAATGCTTTAGCTTGGTTTATTTAATATTTTAACTTCAGTTTGGGCTTATCTTTGTTACTACGCCTTAATGCCATCGGTTTATATATAAGTTTGGATACTTACATCTGCTCGCTTTCGAAACTTTTTTCAAAATTACGAGTCGGATTCACTTTGTGTGACGCGTTACTATGGCTAAAGTGATTGGGTAATATTATACAAAAACAATAAACATATTTATACTTTATAATATCCTGTCAAAAAAGGATAGTAAAATAAATAGAATATCATATATTTATATTGAAAAGCAGGACTTCCATCACCCCTCTACCTGCTGCCGATTATCAGAATTTAGCCAAAATTACATCAAACAAATATTCTGGGATTAACATAGTGAAATATGCTTATCGGTAATCTGTAGTTCCGTTTACGCCATTCATTGAGTGATGTACGTGTAGTCTCGTCGCGAATAGGTGGAAATTGATGATTCAACCTTAAGTAATAATCACTCATTCATTCATTCCTTGAGTAATAACTAAACGGCATAATGCCCCTGAAAACCAAGTTGAAAATGTATGAAAGTCTTTATACAGGGACCTTGTGCTCCCTGAAAACCAAGTGGAAGTTTCGTGACCCGTTCCACCACCACTTCCCATATGTGTGTTCAATCATATCGATCATCAAACATCTGTGTTTTAAGGGCCATATGTTAACAAAGTAAAGGCTTTGAGTTCAATCATACATCACATTTCAAGGAAAGGATAGTTCAATCCAAGTTCATATAATTAATGTATGAAGCATGATTGGAGGTCTGCATTACTGACTTTATCCAATAAAACACTGGCATACCTTGGTGCAACTCAAACAGTGTTTATAGTGATATCATTCGTGGTAGTAACAAAATTAATCTGGAGATCATCCCAATCGTTTTAAGCATCACATTAACTGCAAAGAGTGAAGCATATTCTTTTTAATAATATACCCGGGCGTAAGATAAACACCTTCAGGTACAAAATACACATTTTCCCTTGGTAAGAATATTTTGATGATAGGGTAGTACACTGTTTCGCCATAGTGAGTGAATGAGTGAGTTGAGTTAAACGCCGCTCTTTACATTATTTCAGTGCTATCAGGGCGTTTCAGATTAACTATGCGAGGAATGCCCGAATAATCGAAGGTCTGATTCCCATAGCATGCTTAGTTTTTGGGTGCCATTGTACCCATCTTACAAACTAAGTTCACCATGTTGTTTAGCTTGCTTAAACCATTACCTAACATTATTTCTTGGTGTGCTCGTAAAAATTTACTGCGGTCACCCCGAAATCCAAAATGGCGTCCAAGATGGCCGCCAAAGTGGGAAAATTTCTCAATGCACTCATTACTCTGTCAAAACAATAACAAGTCAGCTTTTTCAAAATCGGAAATGCATTTATAGGTGCACATATACATTTTTAATGCAAAATAATTCAGAATTCTGCAAAAATAGTACTTTTATAAAGTTAAATAATGAATTTTGTAGAAAAAAGTGCAACATATTTACATATCTGAGATTAGACTCAAACTCAAAGGAAAATTGTTTTTAAATCAAAGTCCATTTTCATGATGTCAAAATGTTTCACACTCACTAGTACTGTATTTGATTCAGTAAATGATGTTTGAAGAGCTTTGATGCATTCAGATGCATCATTTCATTGGACAAAGTTGATTCAGATATCACTGTCTGTGTCTGAAGATGAGTTTGACTCCATGTCTGAATCATGGATATCGCCATCAGGTATTTCAACTGAAGAATCTTCTGAAGGAAGTATGTCCACTTCAGCACCAGTGTTTCTTGACTTGTTCTGGCATCCTGAGACACAAGAACACAGTCCTGTAAATTTCAGACTGTTCTTTACACATCCACACCTCTTTGTTTGGCAATCAGTTTTGCAGCTGCAGCAGGTCATTGCTAGGACTGATGACAGTGCTGGTTGTACATCCATCCATTTAATTTCAAACTTTTTATCTGCCACAAACCATCCATGTCCATTTGGAGAAGGTGGTTGCTGGTCCTGTTTCAGACAATTTCTGGAGAGGAATGCTTGGTAATTAGCACGCTGTACTTTCTTTCTCAGAACATTCTGGCATGGAGGTAGTTTCTCTGGATCTGATGTTCCTGATCCAAACATGATTGTCCGCAGTGTATTTACACTGTATGTTAAAACCGGATTCAGATGTTTGGTTCTGGAATTGAAGCTGTAGAAGATGCAAGTTGCTGCTTCACACGATTTCAATAGATCGTCAGTTACTTCTGAGCTTTTTCCAAGTGAAGCCAATGCATTGCAGAAGATTGCATCATTTTCAAGAAGCCAGAGTATGCCCATTTTTCCTCGTCCCTTGAAGGCACTAGTACTGTCGCAACCAGTGAAAGGATGAGCTCCTATAAGACCTTCACATTCATCTACTCCAAGACAAAGTGGTCCTTCACCTTCAAATGGATTGTTCCATTTTGTTATTGTGTTCATGATGTGCTGCACTTTCTCTTCATCTTCTCTGACCCGTATCTTGCCCAGTCAGAGAAGTGCACCGTCTCATAAACTCAGCTCTCTGAGTTGACAGGATTTCCCATTTCCGTGTTGCTGCTGGTTTCATGCTGATATCTGCTACACCTCCTGGAGCCTTAGAATCTCTGTAAACACCCATTTCAGTTTCTTGGTCAGCAGGAACTCTGCCAAATGGGTTATTTTTACTCTTCTGGATGGTGAAGAGGGATCCATTAAGAAGCTGCTCTTGGCAATCTGGGTGTGTGTTTTCAAGGTTCAGCATCATTAGCAAGTAGAGAGGTTTGTATCGTCCATATACATTTCTTCCACAGGCAAAAAACCAGGGGAGCATTTCAATTTCAGAGTGTAGACTTAGTTTCCAGTCACCTGTTCAAGCAGCTCGCACATGCCGCAAGAGTATCCCAACCATTTCGAGATACATTGACCAGAACTTTCCATTTGGTCCAAGAGATTAGATGTATGAGTTGTAGAGTGACAACACAAATCTGAAGGTGTCTGAGGTTGTTAGAGTGGCAAGTCTCTAAGGTGACATATCATGACGAATACCATCAATTTCAGACTTCAAGATTTCAAGACATCTTCCATGATCAAGGTGTTTGACAAACGCTGCAAAACGAAGTCTCTCACAAGCTTCAGCAACAAGCGTGTGGGCATAGAACCCACGCTCCCAGTGCTCTCCTTGAAGGACCTTGTCAACTGATCCTTCTGCCAAAATTCCTGCCTCAATGAAGATGTCACGCAGTCCAGCATTACCAAAGAGGAAACCAGCACATGCCATGAACCGCATACTTGTATGAAATGGCCCCTGATGCAACACAATTCGGTTCATTTTAGGATCAGAATCCTGTTTGCTGTGGATAACTTCTATGGCTTTGGTCCATATTCCCATATCAACTACCACTTGGACAGAACAAGAACCTCTGCCATGATCATCATCCATTGTTTTGTCAGTCATCTCAATGATCTGGTCAGAAACGTATAGATCACACTATGATCAGGGGGTTTGTGGATGGTTTGGCAGTATCCAATTATGTGAGGCTCCATTGGTGTAGAGGGCTGGGTAGCGCTGTTAAATCCCTTCCATCCTGGGACAGCTTGCTCTGATGGTTCCACGTTTTTGCCTAAGTTGAAATCCATTCGGGACAGTTGCCATACCAAATCGACCTGCTTAGCCTTTTTTGCACTTTTTGAATCCAGTGTAGTCAGCAGTTGAGCAGCATTATTATATCGAGGAGGTTCTGGTCTTTTGCTTATGATGCATGCTAGAGACAGAGACAGATATGGATTTGCGTCCAGTTCGGGGGTGATTCTCTGATTGACCTGTAGGAGGTTCTCGATTAGCATCATGTCCAGGTAATCTTGCTTGAGCCATGTATCCAGTTGATCATGGCCCTGTAGTGATCCTGAGAAATGACCTCTGTTTTTGTAGTCATTGTTGTCCCAACCAAACAAAGAAGGTACATTGGAGCCACTCCCTGCGGCATATGGTAGCCAAGATCGTTCTGAGATGTCAGAATCTCTGCATTTGCAGTATCCATCTCTTGAAGAAGTGATTTATTTATGCAGTGCTGATGTTTGTTCAACAGAGATACGAAGACTCTTGTCTGTATTTTTGAATGCACAAATCTGTTGTGAACAATAACAAAGCAATGTACTTACCGACACTAAGATAATTTTGCAAAATTTTGTCCTCCAGTGGAGTCTGTTTATCCTTGACAACATTCTTTGAGACAGCACTTCCTGTACTACTTGCAAGACAACTGTTTATAGTAGTGATTATAAGCATAACCACTTTAAATGTTTTTGTTTTTTTATTTGTTTTTTTAACTGTTCAATGATGTTATTCTTGAATATACTGAATGCATGTATTCGTTTACAGTGCAGAAGATAGTTTTATGCTGCTATGCTTTTTAATTTCTCACCCTTATTGACAGATGAATTCCATATTTTTGGTCATTATTTGTAGTTTGATGAAACCTAATATACCTTTAATGAATATTTACTGAACCGAAAGTGGTTAATTTGTATTATCCTATTCCAAATTGCAGTTCTGATTGGTATATCCATACAAAAAATACCCTGTTTTCTATTAAAGAATATAATTAATTTGAACTTGGCATCCATTTTGAACTAGTAATTCCGTTCTAAAATTTTATATTTGGTGCCCAAACAAAATATATATATATTACACATCAGCTGTTCATGGTCAGAAGTGATTTATGATTAATATTTGATAAACAAATGGGATATATAGTGAAGTTAATAGGTTAGGTAGAAAAGTGGCGGCCATCTTGGCGGCCATCTTGGATTTCAGGGTGACCGCAGTGAAAAAAATTGAGCACACCAAAATATTATTCTTTCCCATCACATAATCTATCAATCTAAATAGGTGAACTTAGTTTGTAAAGCGGGTACAATGGGAGTGTCAGATATGAGAAACAGACCTTCGCTTAGAAGTGATGCAGGTCTCAGTCGTTTCACAATACCATTTGAATGTAAAACAAATGTATTGCCTGCAACACTGTCTCTCTGATAATCCATACATCCTTTCCTGAGATTATTTAAAAGTAGAAGTATCAGTGTTTCAGGTACTGTCGTAACAAGAGCCATACACATGTCTGTGACAGATAACCCCGTATGATGTTGCGTCCATGTAAAACCAAAATTGAATTGAATTGGATGTTATGTCAGACTGTATACCATGTTTATGTAATACAGTTTTTGTGATGAAAAGCTATTCATATCAAATGACGAAAACACAATGACTTGTCGACACGATAAGCGTGGTACAGAGTGTTGTAGGCTGCATTACTATTTACTTCCAGACCCACATTGTAAGGATAAGTCAAACAGATGTCACGCATTTGCAAAGTCAGGGTTTTGTGCAAAGGAGAGTTCCATGTACACGTTCATGTCGATACACTGTCAGCGGACTTGTAATGTGTGTGAGTATTGTTTTGATGATCCATTATATTTATCCCTCATCCCAACTGGATCGGGTGGTCATTGTCGCTTTCGTGTCAGTGTACCATCATTGGTCCTGTCTTCTAAAACTGGTTTGTCTGGTCAATGGTTCTTTATTTAAACAAGTCTGTCTTTGCCAAGAGCATATGAAACCAAGAGATAAAACGTCAGGAAACAAACGATATGGTCACTCTAGAAAGTCCTTGAAACGTAGCCAAAAATGGATGGCTTCTGACAAAGATAGGAAATGTTTAATCTCTACATGATTCAACTTTGGTGTTGTATCTTAACATGCTCAAAATCTACATATACCTTCATGTCATGGTCCAATATATAATATATAATACTGCACAATTACTACAACTCCAACTGTCTCCTGTGCCATAATTGATAAGGATGATTGGCTGGTTTGGATCCTGTATATTGATTTACTTCCAGGCCCACCTTGTAAGGACAAGTTAGAAATATGTCCATGGTATTCCAAGAAGGGATACTGCTATATGGGGCATTCCATGTTCCCATATATGTTCAGAACCTGTCCACAAACGTGTAATCGCTGTAAGTATGGTTTCATTCAAAAACGCTATCAATACCTCAATAAAATGTAATTTTGTTGTCCCACTGCCTTGATGTAGTTGAAATATTTCTGTCTGAAGCTTTGATGAAGAATTCACTTTTCCCTGTTGTTGTTAGCATTACATAAACTGCAAAGACTAAAGGATATTCTTTTTAATAATATACCAACACTCAGAAAAAAGGTCCTGCTCCTTCTTCATTTTACCTATGTAAGAATTGTTCGAATCCAGGTTAGTACACTGTTTCCCAATACCATTTGATTGTCATGAAAAGACAACTCTGCGCAACGAATTGTTGGGATCAGCCGACAGGTTCACCTGTGCCTTAACACTGCAAAACGTTTTGTCCCGATTATTTTCCTGACATGTTTGAGTCTTGATTGTTACACTTTCAATTTTACAGGTGGAGACTCTGAAGGTCCTCATCAACATGACACAACATCGCTTCCTCCACCACGAACAGTTGAAAGTATGTCTTGTTTTTGCATTGAGATTAACTCAAATACACTGATCACATACTCCTTGTATGATAGTAGACTAATTTAATTGGACCGCATGGACAAACTCGTTTCACACACACACATGCCTTGTCGACATGCCTTAGATTTTGTTATCCGTGTCATACACATCCCAATGACACACTTCCCTTGGAACATTGTCAGGAGTAATGATTAAATGTTCTATTATATTTGTATATATTCTTCAGATTTAGTCATCCCTGAATGCGTTTACGTAAGAGGTGAAAGGGAATTTGTAGGTTTGTAAGAGGATTGTGAAACAATTGTGAAAGTTACATGTGGTCTCCAATATATACACTTTTGTTACACTTCATAACAGTTTCAGTTGTCATGGCGAGACAATACATGTCAGTAGCACACAAGTTGCATGTGTAATGACGTTCAGATCAAACACAAGCCTCTTGTGGTATTTGTATCTTAAACGCTCAATTCCATTCAGAATTAAGTTACCCTTCAGGCGATGAATTAATAGTCACTTGGGCCTTATATGTGAACTACATGATAAAGACTGGCTATAGATCGCCAGAAACTGAAGGTAGATCAACCTACTGGAGTCCTACTACAAGTATTTTATGGTAAAGTATCTTAAACGTTAAATTCCATTCAGAATTTAGTTACCTTTCAGGTGATGAATTAATAGTCACTTGAGCCTTTATTGTATTTAACACATGTCCGCGTCCTACCTATATAACTTTACGGCTCAATATACTCTGCTAAGGCAGAAGTCGACTCTTAAACACTTAGCAACAACAACATACGCTGGAAGTCTGTCTCAAGTTGAAGATTAGCTTTTTCTACCGTCGGTTCCTGATGCACGATCAAAAGCCGGAGTCACTGTCCAGCAGTGAAGACAGAACCTAGTGACGTAACTGTTCACATATAAGACGTATGTGACGATGTGTGGTTTCAACATGTACCTGTTTACTTAAAGCTTTAATGCTTTAGCTTGGTTTATTTAATATTTTAACTTCCGTTTTGGCTTATCTTTGTTACTACGCCTTAATGCCATCGGTTTATATATAAGTTTGTATACTTACATCTGCTCGCTTTCGACACATATTTCAAAAACACGAGTCGGATTCTCTTTGTGTGACGCGTTACTATGGCTAAAGTGATTGGGTAATATTATACATAAACAATAAACATATTTATTCTTTATAATATTCTTTCAAAAAAGGATAGTAAAATAAATAGAATATCATATATTAATATTAAAAACTATTATGAAACAATGAAACATATCACTTTTCATAACAATACATGATAAAGACTGGCTATAGATCGCCAGCAACTGAAAGTAGATCACCCCACTTGAGTCCAAGGGGTATTTCTTCTACTTTCATGGTACCCTAGCAGGATTTCCACCATCACTCTACCTGCTGGCGATTATCATCAAATGTAGTCAAAATTATATAAACAAATATTTTGGGATTAAAATATTGAAATATGCCTATCGGTAATCTGTAGTTCCTTTTACCCATTCCTTGAGTGATGTTCTTGAAGTCTCGTCGAGAATAGGTTGAAATTGATGATTCAACCTAAAGTAATATTCACTCACTCATTCATTCATTCCTTGAGTAATAACTAAACGGCATAATGCCCCTGAAAACCAAGTGGAAAATGTATGACAGTCTTTTTCCAGGGACCTTGTGCTCCCTGAAAACCAAGTGGAAGTTTCGTGACCCGATCCACCACCACTTCCCATATGTGTGTTCAATCATATCGATCATCAAACATCTGTGTTTTAAGGGCCATATGTTAACAAAGTAAAGGCTTTGAGTTCAATCATACCTCACATTTCAAGGAAAGGATAGTTCAATCCAAGTCCATATAATTAATGTATGAAGTATAATTGGAGGTCTGCATTACTGACTTTATCCAATAAAACACTGGCTTCCCTTGGTGCAACTCAAACAGTGTTTATAGTGATATCATTCGTGGTAGTAACAAAATTAATCTGGAGATCATCCCACTCCTTTTAAGCATCACATAAACTGCAAAGAGTGAAGCATATTCTTTTTAATAATATACCCGGGCGTAAGATAAACACCTTCAGGTAAAAAATACACATTTTCCCTTGGTAAGAATATTTTGATGATAGGGTAGCACACTGTTTCGCCATAGTGAGTGAATGAGTGAGTTGAGTTAAACGCCGCTCTTTACATTATTTCAGTGCTATCAGGGCGTTTCAGCTTAATGTGCGAGGAATGCCCGAAGTGATGCAGGTTTAATTCGTTTCACAATACCATTTCAATGTTACAAAACGTATTGCCTGCAACACTGTCTCTCTGATAATCCACACATCAGAGAGTCTTTGTTCTTACACTTTGTTACTTTGCTTTACAGGTGACGGAAACTCCCAACCTCCTCATCAACTTGAAACAACATCTCTCCCTCCGCCACGAACTGATGAAAGTATGTCGCATTTTTGCCTTGCGATGAACGCAACTACATTAATCATATAATCTTCGGATGTCATGTGGTCAGAGGGATGTTTTAGCTTGTACGAGTTTGCCAAGTAACGTCTCGTTTTTACTTACTGGTCGTTTGAACATGTCTTTGTGTTTCATATTTTTGAAACCTTTATTGTATGGAATCGAAAATTAGCACAAAGCCTTAATAACAAAATGAATTATAGACTGAAAAGAAGCTACTTTGCAGTGCGCTGTTCTATCCTTGTTAATATGGCATTTAACATGTCATTAAGTGACTGGTCATGTAATTAATTACAATTCAAATTTGTCCTTTTATATGGTTCTAAACAGTGATACCCTGAGTTTTGCGTGATGTTGTTACGTACCAATGACTTGTAATGGTGATTCAATCAGGTTGACAGAATCGGTAACTTGGTTGATGACGTGTCAAGATGCCGCAACGGCCAATGATGACTGGATTGTCTGATCCAGACGCAATTATTTAATGTGGAATGAATATTGCTGACAACAAACAACAAACCAAAACAAAACTAAGTTGCCAACACTTTACACAAAATCTTTGATCCTGCAATGTCCAAAGGGTGGTCCATTTCTTGTTGGGATATACTTGACATTAATCCATATATACATAAATAGTATATTTGGAAGTAATATCTCACGAGGATCGTTAGTTCTTGCAACTAAAATCCACATGCGATAATAACGGTATTTGGTTGCTGGCTTTTTTTGGAAATGTTTCAAAAGCAATTGCCTTTATCATATATACAAGTCATTAAAACGTTTTGTAAGTGAAACCACGTAATAGTATGTGCTCAAACATCCTTTCCCGAGATTATCAAAAAGTAGAAGTATCAGTGTTTCAGGTACTGTCGTAACAAGAGCCATGCACATGTCTGTGACAGATAACCCCATATGATGTTGCGTCCATGTAAAACCAATATGGTATTGAATTGGATGTTTTGTCAGACTGTATGCCATGTTTATGTAATACAGTTTTTGTCATGAAAAATATTTCATATCAAATGACGAAAACACAATGACTTGTCGACACGATGAGCGTGGAACAGAGAGTTGTAGGCTGCATTACTATTTACTTCCAGACCCACATTGTAAGGATAAGTCAAACAGATGTCAAGCACATGCAAAGAAAGGGTTTTGTGCAAAGGAGAGTTCCATGTACACGTTCATGTCGATACACTGTCAACGAACTTGTAATGTGTGTGAGTATTGTTTTGATGATCCACTATATTTATCCCTCATCCCAAATGGATCGGGTGGTCATTGTCGCTTTCGTGTCAGTGTGCCATCATTGGTCCTGTCTTCTAAAACTGGTTTGACTGGTCAAGGGTTCCTTATTTACACAAGTCTGTCTTTGTCAAGAGGATATGAAACCAAGAGATAAAACGTCAGGAAGCAAACGATATGATCATTCTAGAAAGTCCTTGAAACGTAGCCACAAATGGATAGCTTCTGACAAAGATTGGAAATGTTTAATCTCCACATGATTCAACTTTGGTGTTGCATCTTAAAATGTTCAAAATCTACATATACCTTCATGTCATGTTCCAATATATAATATATAATACTGCACAATAACAACAAATCTAACTGTCTCCTGTGCCATAATTGATAAGGATGATTGCCTGGTTTGGATCCTGTATATTGATTTACTTCCAGGCCCACCTTGTAAGGACAAGTTAAAAATATGTCCAACCTATGCGAAGATGGGATACTGCTCTATGGGGCTTACCATGTTCCAATTCATGTTCAGAACCTGTCCACAAACGTGTAATCGTTGTAAGTATTGTTTCATTCAAAAACGCTATCAATACCTCAATAAAATGTAATTTTGTTGTCACACAGCCTTGATGTAGTTGAAATATTTCTGTCTGAAGCTTTGATGAAGAATTCACTTTTCCCTGTTGTTGTTAGCATTACATAAACTGCAAAGACTAAAGGATATTCTTTTTAATAATATACCAACACTCAGAAAAAAGGTTCTGCTCCTTCTTCATTTTACCTATGTAAGAATTGTTCAAATCAAGGTTAGTACACTGTTTCACAATACCATTTGATTGTCATGAAAAGACAACTCTGCACAAGGAATTGTGGGGATCAGACGACAGGTTCTCCTGTGCCTTAACACTGCAAAACGTTTTGTCCCGATTATTTTCCTGACATGTGTGAGTCTTGATTGTTACACTTTCTATTTTACAGGTGGAGACTCTGAACGTCCTCATCAACATGAAACAACATCGCTTCCTCCACCACGAACAGTTGAAAGTATGTCTTGTTTTTGCATTGAGATTAACTCAAATACACTGATCACATACTCCTTGTATGATAGTAGACTAATTTAATTGGACCGCATGGACAAACTCGTTTCACACACACACATGCCTTGTCGACATGCCTTAGATTTTGTTATCCGTGTCATACACACCCTAATGACACACTTCCCTTGGAACATTGTCAGGAGTAATGATTACATGTTCTATCATATTTGTATATATGCCTCAGATTTAGTCATCCCTGAATGCGTTTACGTAAGAGGTGAAAGGGAATTTGTAGATTTGTAAGAGGATTGTGAACCAGTTGTGAAAGTTACATGTGGTCTCCAATATATACACTTTTGTTTGCATAACAGTTTCAGTTGTCATGGCGAGACAGTACATGTCAGTAGCACACAAATTGCATGTGTAATGACGTTCAGATCAAACACAAGCATCTTGTGGTATTTGTATCTTAAACGCTTAATTCCATTCAGAATTAAGTTACCCTTCAGGCGATGAATTAATAGTCACTTGGGCCTTATATGTGAACTACATGATAAATACTGGCTATAGATCGCCAGCAACTGAAGGTAGATGAACCTACTGGAGTCCAAGGGGTATTTCTTCTACTTTCATGGTACCCTAGGAGGATTTCCACCATCCCTCTACATGCTGGCGATTATCAGCAAATTTAGCCAAAATTAAATCAAACAAATATTCTGGGATTAAAATATTGAATTATGCCTATCGGTAATCTGTAGTTCCCTTTACACCATTCATTGAGTGATGTTCTTGAAGTCTCGTCGAGAATAGGTGGAAAATTGATGATTCAACGTAAAGTAATATTCACTCATTTATTCATTCATTCATTGAGTAATAAACGACATAATGCCCCTGCAAACCAAGTGGAAAATGTATGACAGTCTTTTTCCAGGGACCTTGTGCTTCCTGCAAACTAAGTGAAAGTTTCGTGACCCGTTCAACCACCACTTCCCATGTGTGTTCAATCATATCAATCATCAAACATCTGTATTTTAAGGGCCATATGTTAAAAAGGAAAGGATTTGAGTTCAATCAATTTCAAGGAAAGGATAGTTCAATCCAAGTCTATATAATAAATGTATGAAGCATAATTGGAGGTCTGCATTACTGATTTTTTCCAATAAAAACCTGGCATACCTTGGTGCAACTCAAACAGTGTTTATAGTGATATCATTCGTGGTAGTAACAAAATTAATCTGGAGTTCATTGCATCCGTTTAAAGCATCACATAAACTGCAAAGAGTGAAGCATATTCTTTTTAATAATATACCCGGGCGTAAGATAAACACCTTCAGGTAAAAAATACACATTTTCCCTTGGTAAGAATATTTTGATGACAGGGTAGTACACTGTTTCGCCATAGTGAGTAAATGAGTGAGTTGAGTTAAACGCCGCTCTTTACATTATTTCAGTGCTATCAGGGCGTTTCAGCTTAATGTGCGAGGAATGCCCGAAGTGATGCAGGTCTCAGTTCTTTCACAATACCATTTCAATGTTACAAAACGTATTGCCTGCAACACTGTCTCTCTGATAATCCACACATCAGAGAGTCTTTGTTCTTACACTTTGTTACTTTGCTTTACAGGTGACGGAAACTCCCAACCTCCTCAGCAACTTGAAACAACATCTCTCCCTCCGCCACGAACTGATGAAAGTATGTCGCATTTTTGCCTTGCGATGAACGCAACTACTTTAATCATATAATCTTCGGATGTCATGTGGTCAGAGGGATGTTTTAGCTTGTACGAGTTTGCCAAGTAACGTCTCGTTTTTACTTACTGGTCGTTTGAACATGTCTTTGTGTTTCATATTTTTGAAACCTTTATTGTATGGAATCGAAAATTAGCACAAAGCCTTAATAACAAAATGAATTATAGACTGAAAAGAAGCTACTTTGCAGTGCGCTGTTCTATCCTTGTTAATATGGCATTTAACATGTCATTAAGTGACTGGTCATGTAATTAATTACAATTCAAATTTGTCCTTGTATATGGTTCTAAACAGTGATACCCTGAGTTTTGCGTGATGTTGTTACGTACCAATGACTTGTAATGGTGATTCAATCAGGTTGACAGAATCGGTAACTTGGTTGATGACGTGTCAAGATGCCGCAACGGCCAATGATGACTGGATTGTCTGATCCAGACGCAATTATTTAATGTGGAATGAATATTGCTGACAACAAACAACAAACCAAAACAAAACTAAGTTGCCAACACTTTACACAAAATCTTTGATCCTGCAATGTCCAAAGGGTGGTCCATTTCTTGTTGGGATATACTTGACATAAATCCATATATACATAAATAGTATATTTGGAAGTAATATCTCACGAGGATCGTTAGATCTTGCAACTAAAATCCACATGCGATAATAACGGTATTTGGTTGCTGGCTTTTTTTGGAAATGTTTCAAAAGCAATTGCCTTTATCATATATACAAGTCATTAAAACGTTTTGTAAGTGAAACCACGTAATAGTATGTGCTCAAACATCCTTTCCCGAGATTATCAAAAAGTAGAAGTATCAGTGTTTCAGGTACTGTCGTAACAAGAGCCATGCACATGTCTGTGACAGATAACCCCATATGATGTTGCGTCCATGTAAAACCAATATGGTATTGAATTGGATGTTTTGTCAGACTGTATGCCATGTTTATGTAATACAGTTTTTGTCATGAAAAATATTTCATATCAAATGACGAAAACACAATGACTTGTCGACACGATAAGCGTGGTACAGAGAGTTGTAGGCTGCATTACTATTTACTTCCAGACCCACATTGTAAGGATAAGTCAAACAGATGTCAAGCACATGCAAAGAAAGGGTTTTGTGCAAAGGAGAGTTCTATGTACACGTTCATGTCGATACACTGTCAGCGGACTTGTAATGTGTGTGAGTATTGTTTTGATGATCCACTATATTTATCCCTCATCCCAAATGGATCGGGTGGTCATTGTCGCTTTCCTGTCAGTGTGCCATCATTGGTCCTGTCTTCCAAAACTGGTTTGACTGGTCAAGGGTTCCTTATTTACACAAGTCTGTCTTTGTCAAGAGGATATGAAACCAAGAGGTAAAACGTCAGGAAGCAAACGATATGGTCATTCTAGAAAGTCCTTGAAACGTAGCCACAAATGGATAGCTTCTGACAAAGATTGGAAATGTTTAATCTCCACATGATTCAACTTTGGTGTTGCATCTTAAAATGTTCAAAATCTACATTTACCTTCATGTCATGGTCCAATATATAATATATAATACTGCACAATAACAACAACTCAAACTGTCCCCTGTGCCATAATTGATAAAGATGATTGGCTGGTTTGGAGCCTGTATATTGATTTACTTCCAGGCCCTCCTTGTAAGGACAAGTTAAAAATATGTCCAACCTATGCGAAGATGGGATACTGCTCTATGGGGCATAACATGTTCCCATTCATGTTCAGAACCTGTCCACAAACGTGTAATCGTTGTAAGTATTGTTTCATTCAAAAACGCTATCAATACCTCAATAAAATGTAATTTTGTTGTCACACAGCCTTGATGTAGTTGAAATATTTCTGTCTGAAGCTTTGATGAAGAATTCACTTTTCCCTGTTGTTGTTAGCATTACATAAACTGCAAAGACTAAAGCATATTCTTTTTAATAATATACCAACACTCAGAAAAAAGGTTCAGCTCCCTCTTCATTTTACCTATGTAAGAATTGTTCGAATCCAGGTTAGTACACTGTTTCCCAATACCATTTGATTGTCATGAAAAGACAACTCTGCACAAGGAATTGTGGGGATCAGACGACAGGTTCTCCTGTGCCTCAACACTGCAAAACGTTTTGTCCTGATTATTTTCCTGACATGTGTGAGTCTTGATTGTTACACTTTCTATTTTACAGGTGGAGACTCTGAACGTCCTCATCAACATGAAACAACATCGCCTTCTCCACCACGAAAAGTTGAAAGTATGTCTTGTTTTTGTATTGAGATTAACTCAAATACACTGATCACATACTCCTTGTATGATAGGAGACTAAATTAATTGGACCGCATGGACAAACTCGTTTCACACACACACATGCTTTGTCGACATGCCTTAGATTTTGTTATCCGTGTCATACACATCCCAATGACACACTTCCCTTGGAACATCGTCAGGGGTAATGACTAAATATTCTATTATATTTGTATATATTCCTCAGCTTTAGTCATCCCTGAATGCATTTACGTAAGAGGTGAAAGGGAATTTGTAGGTTTGTAAGATGATTGTGAAATAGTTGTGAAAGTTACATGTGGTCTCCAATATATACTCTTTTGTTTTCATAACAGTTTCAGTTGTCATGTCGAGGCAACACATGTCAGTAGCACACAAATTGCATGTGTAATGACGTTCAGATCAAACACAAGCATCTTGTGGTATTTGTATCTTAAACGCTTAATTCCATTCAGAATTAAGTTACCCTTCAGGCGATGAATTAATAGTCACTTGGGCCTTATATGTGAACTACATGATAAAGACTGGCTATAGATCGCCAGCAACTGAAGGTAGATGAACCTACTGGAGTCCAAGGGGTATTTCTTCTACTTTCATGGTACCCTAGGAGGATTTCCACCATCCCTCTACATGCTGGCGATTATCAGCAAATTTAGCCAAAATTAAATCAAACAAATATTCTGGGATTAAAATATTGAATTATGCCTATCGGTAATCTGTAGTTCCCTTTACACCATTCATTGAGTGATGTTCTTGAAGTCTCGTTGAGAATAGGTGGAAAATTGATGATTCAACGTAAAGTAATATTCACTCATTTATTCATTCATTCATTGAGTAATAAACGACATAATGCCCCTGCAAACCAAGTGGAAAATGTATGACAGTCTTTTTCCAGGGACCTTGTGCTTCCTGCAAACTAAGTGAAAGTTTCGTGACCCGTTCAACCACCACTTCCCATGTGTGTTCAATCATATCAATCATCAAACATCTGTATTTTAAGGGCCATATGTTAAAAAGGAAAGGATTTGAGTTCAATCAATTTCAAGGAAAGGATAGTTCAATCCAAGTCTATATAATAAATGTATGAAGCATAATTGGAGGTCTGCATTACTGATTTTTTCCAATAAAAACCTGGCATACCTTGGTGCAACTCAAACAGTGTTTATAGTGATATCATTCGTGGTAGTAACAAAATTAATCTGGAGTTCATTGCATCCGTTTAAAGCATCACATAAACTGCAAAGAGTGAAGCATATTCTTTTTAATAATATACCCGGGCGTAAGATAAACACCTTCAGGTACAAAATACACATTTTCCCTTGGTAAGAATATTTTGATGACAGGGTAGTACACTGTTTCGCCATAGTGAGTAAATGAGTGAGTTGAGTTAAACGCCGCTCTTTACATTATTTCAGTGCTATCAGGGCGTTTCAGCTTAATGTGCGAGGAATGCCCGAAGTGATGCAGGTCTCAGTTCTTTCACAATACCATTTCAATGTTACAAAACGTATTGCCTGCAACACTGTCTCTCTGATAATCCACACATCAGAGAGTCTTTGTTCTTACACTTTGTTACTTTGCTTTACAGGTGACGGAAACTCCCAACCTCCTCATCAACTTGAAACAACATCTCTCCCTCCGCCACGAACTGATGAAAGTATGTCGCATTTTTGCCTTGCGATGAACGCAACTACATTAATCATATAATCTTCGGATGTCATGTGGTCAGAGGGATGTTTTAGCTTGTACGAGTTTGCCAAGTAACGTCTCGTTTTTACTTACTGGTCGTTTGAACATGTCTTTGTGTTTCATATTTTTGAAACCTTTATTGTATGGAATCGAAAAATAGCACAAAGCCTTAATAACAAAATGAATTATAGACTGAAAAGAAGCTACTTTGCAGTGCGCTGTTCTATCCTTGTTAATATGGCATTTAACACGTCATTAAGTGACTGGTCATGTAATTAATTACAATTCAAATTTGTCCTTGTATATGGTTCTAAACAGTGATACCCTGAGTTTTGCGTGATGTTGTTACGTACCAATGACTTGTAATGGTGATTCAATCAGGTTGACAGAATCGGTAACTTGGTTGATGACGTGTCAAGATGCCGCAACGGCCAATGATGACTGGATTGTCTGATCCAGACGCAATTATTTAATGTGGAATGAATATTGCTGACAACAAACAACAAACCAAAACAAAACTAAGTTGCCAACACTTTACACAAAATCTTTGATCCTGCAATGTCCAAAGGGTGGTCCATTTCTTGTTGGGATATACTTGACATAAATCCATATATACATAAATAGTATATTTGGAAGTAATATCTCACGAGGATCGTTAGTTCTTGCAACTAAAATCCACATGCGATAATAACGGTATTTGGTTGCTGGCTTTTTTTGGAAATGTTTCAAAAGCAATTGCCTTTATCATATATACAAGTCATTAAAACGTTTTGTAAGTGAAACCACGTAATAGTATGTGCTCAAACATCCTTTCCCGAGGTTATCAAAAAGTAGAAGTATCAGTGTTTCAGGTACTGTCGTAACAAGAGCCATGCACATGTCTGTGACAGATAACCCCATATGATGTTGCGTCCATGTAAAACCAATATGGTATTGAATTGGATGTTTTGTCAGACTGTATGCCATGTTTATGTAATACAGTTTTTGACATGAAAAATATTTCATATCAAATGACGAAAACACAATGACTTGTCGACACGATAAGCGTGGTACAGAGAGTTGTAGGCTGCATTACTATTTACTTCCAGACCCACATTGTAAGGATAAGTCAAACAGATGTCAAGCACATGCAAAGAAAGGGTTTTGTGCAAAGGAGAGTTCTATGTGCACGTTCATGTCGATACACTGTCAGCGGACTTGTAATGTGTGTGAGTATTGTTTTGATGATCCACTATATTTATCCCTCATCCCAAATGGATCGGGTGGTCATTGTCGCTTTCCTGTCAGTGTGCCATCATTGGTCCTGTCTTCCAAAACTGGTTTGACTGGTCAAGGGTTCTTTATTTACACAAGTCTGTCTTTGTCAAGAGGATATGAAACCAAGAGGTAAAACGTCAGGAAGCAAACGATATGGTCATTCTAGAAAGTCCTTGAAACGTAGCCACAAATGGATAGCTTCTGACAAAGATTGGAAATGTTTAATCTCCACATGATTCAACTTTGGTGTTGCATCTTAAAATGTTCAAAATCTACATATACCTTCATGTCATGGTCCAATATATAATACATAATACTGCACAATAACAACAACTCAAACTGTCCCCTGTGCCATAATTGATAAAGATGATTGGCTGGTTTGGAGCCTGTATATTGATTTACTTCCAGGCCCTCCTTGTAAGGACAAGTTAAAAATATGTCCAACCTATGCGAAGATGGGATACTGCTCTATGGGGCATAACATGTTCCCATTCATGTTCAGAACCTGTCCACAAACGTGTAATCGTTGTAAGTATTGTTTCATTCAAAAACGCTATCAATACCTCAATAAAATGTAATTTTGTTGTCACACAGCCTTGATGTAGTTGAAATATTTCTGTCTGAAGCTTTGATAAAAGAATTCGATTTTCCCTGTTGTTGTTAGCATTACATAAACTGCAAAGACTAAAGCATATTCTTTTTAATAATAATACTAACTCTCAGAAAAAAGGTTCTGCTCCTTCTTCATTTTACCTATGAAAGAATTGTTCGAATCCAGGTTAGTACACTGTTTCACAATACCATTTGATTGTCATGAAAAACAACTCTGCACAAGGAATTGTGGGGATCAGACGACAGGTTCTCCTGTGCTTTAAACCTGCAAAATGTTTTGTCCCGATTATTTTCCTGACATGTGTGAGTCTTGATTGTTACACTTTCTATTTTACAGGTGGAGACTCTGAACGTCCTCATCAACATGAAACAACATCGCTTCCTCCACCACAGACAGTCGAAAGTATGTCTTGTTTTTGCATTGAGATTAACTCAAATACACTGATCACATACTCCTTGTATGATAGGAGACTAAATTAACTGGACCGCATGGACAAACTCGTTTCACACACACACATGCCTTGTCGACATGCCTTAGATTTTGTTATCCGTGTCATACACACCCCAATGACACACTTCCCTTGGAACATTGTCAGGGGTAATGATTAAATATTCTATTATATTTGTGTATATTCCTCAGCTTAAGTCATTCCTGAATGCATTTACGTAAGAAGTGAAAGAGAATGTGTAGGTTTGTAAGATGATTGTGAAACAGTTGTGAAAGTTACATGTGGTCTCCAATATATACACTTTTGTTAGCATAACAGTTTCTGTTCTCATGGCGAAACAATACATGTCAGTAGCACACAAGTTCACAAGTTACATGTGTAATGACGCTCAGACCAAACACAAGTATCTTGTGGTATTTGTATCTGAAACGCTCAATTCCATTCAGAATTTAGTTACCCTTCAGGTGATGAATTAATAGTCACTTGGGCCTTTATTGTATTTAACACATGTCCGCGTCCTACCCATTTAACTTTACGGCTCAATATACTCTGCTAAGGCAGAAGTCGACTCTTAAACACTTAGCAACAACATCATACGCTGGAAGTCTGTCTCAAGTTGAAGATTAGCTTTTTCTACCGTCGGTTCCTGATGCACGATCAAAAGCCGGAGTCACTGTCCAGCAGTGAAGACAGAACCTAGTGACCTAACTGTTCACATATAAGACGTATGTGACACAGTGTTGCTTCACCATGTACTTGTTTACTTAAAGCCTTAATGCTTTAGCTTGGTTTATTTAATATTTAAACTTCAGTTTGGGCTTATCTTTGTCACTATGCCTTAATGCCATCGGTTTATATATAAGTTTGGATACTTACATCTGCTCGCTTTCGAAACTTTTTTCAAAATTACGAGTCGGATTCTCTTTGTGTGACGCGTTACTATGACTAAAGTGATTGGGTATTATTATACATAAACAAAAAACATATTTATACTTTATAATATCCTGTCAAAAAAGGAAAGTAATATAAATAGAATATCATATGTTTATGTTAAAAAGCAGGACTTCCACCATCCCTCTACCTGCTGCCGATTATCAGCATTTAGCCAAAATTACATCAAACAAATATTCTGGGATTAACATAGTGAAATATGCTTATCGGTAATCTGTAGTTCCGTTTACACCATTCATTAAGTGATGTACTTGTAGTCTCGTCGCGAATAGGTGGAAAATTGATGATTCAACGTAAAGTAATATTCACTCACTCATTCATTCATTCCTTATGTAGTAACTAAACGGCATAATGCCCCTGCAAACCAAGTGGAAAATGTATGACAGTCTTTTTCCAGGGACCTTGTGCTTCCTGCAAACCAAGTGGAAGTTTCGGGAAACGTTCAACCACCACTTCCCATGTGTGTTCAATCATATCGATCATCAAACATCTGTGTTTTAAGGGCCACATGTTAATGAAGTAAATGCTTTGAGTTCAATACCTCACATTTCAAGGAAAGGATAGTTCAATCCAAGTTCATGTAATTAATGTATGAAGCATAATTGGAGGTCTGCATAACTGATTTTGTCCAATAAAACACTGGCATACCTTGGTGCAACTCAAACAGTGTTTATAGTGATATCATTCGTGATAGTAACAAAATGAATCTTGAGATCATTCCAATCGTTTTAAGCATCACATAAACTGCAAAGAGTGAAGCATATTCTTTTTAATAATATACCCGGGCGTAAGATAAACACCTTCAGGTACAAAATACACATTTTCCCTTGGTAAGAATATTCTGATGACAGGGTAGTACACTGTTTCGCCATAGTGAGTAAATGAGTGAGTTGACTTTAACGCCGCTCTTTACATTATTTCAGTGCTATCAGGGCGTTTCAGCTTAATGTGCGAGGTCTTTGTGTTTCATTCGTTTGAGACCTTTATTATATGGAATCGAAAATTAGCTCAAAGCCTTAATACCAAAATGAATTATAGACTGAAAAAAAGCTTAACCGGATAAAAGCTACTTTGCAGTGTGCTGTTCTATCCTGTTTAATATGGCATTTCATACGTCATTAAGTGACTGCTCATGTAATTAATTACGATGCAAAGTTGTCATTGTCTATGGTTCTATAACAGTGACATCCCTGAGTTTTGTGTGGTGTTGTTACGTACCAATGAATTGTAATGGTGACTGAATCAGGTTGTCAGAATCGGTAACTTGGTTGATGACGTGTCAAGATGCCCCGACGGCGAATGATGACTGGATTGTCTGATCCAGACGCGATTATTTAATGTGGAATGAATATTGCTGACAACAAACAACAAACCAAAACAAAACTAAGTTGCCAACACTTTACCCACCATCTTTGCTCACGCAATGTCCAAAGGATGGTCAATTTTGTGTTGCGATATACTTGACATAAATCCATATATACATAAATAGTATATATGGAAGTAATATCTCACGAATAATGGTTAGTTTTTGCAAATAAAAAACACATGCCATATTTGTTTGCTGGCTTGGAACTTTTTCAAAAGCATTTCCCTTGATCAAATAAACAAGCCATTAAAAAGTTTTGTAAGTGAAACCCTGTAATAGTATGTGCTCAAACATCCTTTTCCGAGATTATTAAAAAGAAGAAATATCAGTGTCTCAGGTACTGTCGTAACAGAGTCATACACATGTCTGTAACAGATAACCTCATATGATGTTGCGTCCATATAAAACAAATATGGTATTGACTTGGATGTTGGTCTGATGCCTTTATACCAAAATGCATTATTGATTGTATTGTGCTAAAGGCGACTAAACCTACAATGCACAATACAGATCAGACTTTAAATCATGTGTATATATTACAGTTTTTGTCATGAAATACGTTTTACATCAAATGATGAAAACACAATGACTACAGGTCGACACGATAAGCGTGGTACAGAGGTTATTACTATTTACTTCCAGACCCACATTGTAAGGACGACTCAAACAGATGTCAAGCACATGCAAAGAAAGGGTTCTGTGCAAAGGAGAATTACATGTACTCCTTCATGTTAAGGCAATGTCAACGAACTTGTAATGTGTGTGAGTATTGTTTTGATGATCCACTATATTTATCCCTCATCCCAACTGGATCGGTTGGTCATTGTCGCTTTCGTGTCAGTGTGCATCATTGGTCCTGTCTTCCAAAACTGGTTTGTCTGGTCAATGGTTCTTTATTTACACAAGACTGTCTTTGCCAAGAGCATATGAAACCAAGAGATAAAACGTCAGGAAACAAACGATATGGTCCCTCTAGAAAGTCCTTGAAACGTAGCCACAAATGGATGGCTTCTGACAAAACTGAGATTGGAAATGTTTAATCTCCACATCATTCAACTTTGGTGTTCTATCTCCAAAAGTTTCAAATCTACATAAACCTTCATGTCATGTTCCAAAATATAATATATAATACTGCACGTTAACTACAACTCCAACTGTCTCCTGTGCCATAATTGATAAAGATCATCGGCTGGTGTGTTGCTTGTATATTCATTTACTTCCAGGCCCACCGTGTAAGGACAAGTTAAAACTATGCCCAAGCTATGCCGAGAAGGGATACTGCTATGTGGGACAAAGCATGTTCTCATTCATGTTCAGAACCTGTCCAGAATCGTGTAATCGTTGTATGTATTGTTTCATTCAAAAACGCTATCAATGCCTCATCATAAAATGACGTCGCAATGATTTTGTCGTTGTTATTGTATGCATTACATAAACTGCAAAGACTAAAGCGTATTCTTTTCAATAATATACCAATGCTCCGAAAAAAAGTTCTGCTCCCTCTTAATTTTAACTTTTGAAAGACTTGCTCGAAGCAAGGTTAGTGCACTGTTTCACAATAACTATTTGACTGTTATGAAAAGGCAACTCTGCACAGCGAATTGTGGGGGCTCAGACGAGTCTGTCATCTGTTCCTCCACCCTGCAAAACGTTTTGTCCCGATTATTTTCTTAACATGTGTGAATCTTGATTGTTACACTTTCTATTTTACAGGTGGAGACTCTGAACGTCCTCATCAACATGAAACAACATCGCTTCCTCCACCACGAACTGTTGAAAGTATGTTTCATTTTTGCATGGAGATTAACTCAAGTACACTGATTACATATTCCTTGTATGATAGGAGACTAAATTAATTGGACCGGGTGGACAAACTCGTTTCGCACACACACACATGCCTTGTCGACATGCCTTAGATTTTGACACTATGATACACTTTCCTTGGAACATTGTTACTTTGCTTTACAGGTGACAGAGTAATGATTAAATGTTCTATTATATTTGTAGATATGCCTCAGATTTAGTCATCCCTGAATGCGTTTACGTAAGAGGTGAAAGGGAATTTGTAGGTTTGTAAGAGGATTGTGAAACAGTTGTGAAAGTTATATGTGGTTTAAAATATATACACCTTTGTTTGCATGACAGTTTCAGCAGTCATGGCGAGACAATACATGCTAGTAGCACACAAATGGCTGATGACGTTCAGATCAAACCCATGTATTTTATGGTGTTTGTGTATTAAACGTTTAATTTCATTCAGATTTTAGTTACCTTTTAGGCGATGAATTGACAGTCACTTGGGCCTTTATTGTATTTAACACATGTACGCGTCCTACCTATATACTCTGCTAAGGCAGAAGTCGACTCTTAATCACTCAGCCACAAGTTCATATGCTAGAAGTCTGTCGCAAGTCGAAGATCAGCTTTTTCTACTGTCAGTTCCTGATGCACGATCAAAGGCCGGAGTCTTTGTCCAGCAGTGAAGACAGAACCTAGTGACGTAACTGTTCACATATAAGACGTATGTGACGCTGTGTGGCTTCAACATGTACTTGTTTACTTAAAGCCTTAATACTTTAGCTTGGTTTATTTTATATTTTAACTTCAGTTTGGGCTTATCTTTGTCACTACGCCTTAATGCCATCGGTTTATATATAAGGTTGAATACTTACATCTGCTCGCTTTTCACACTTTTTTTTCAAAATTACGAGTCGGATTCTCTTTGTGTGACGCGTTACTATGATAAAGGTGAGTGGGTAATATTATACATGTATATCAACAATAAACATATTTATACTACATAAAAACCTGTCAAATAAGGATAGTAAAATATTGAAATATCATTTATCATTTTTTAAAACTAGTATGTAACAATCAAACATATCGCAATACATAACAACGGCTGGCTATAGATCGCCAGCTGAAGGTAGATCACCCTACTAGAGACCAAGGGGTGTTTCTGCTACTTTGATGATACCCTAGCAAGATTTCCACCATCCCTGTACCTGCTGGCAATTATCAGCAAATTTAGTAAATTATTAAATAAAAAAAATATTCTATAATTAAAATATTGAAATATGCCTATCGGTAATCTATAGTTCACTTTACACCATCCGAAACAATATTTCCTGAGTCATATTCTCGTTGTCTAGTCGCGAAGAGGTTGAAAATTGATAATTCGACGTAAAGTAATATGTACTCATTCATTCATTCCTTGAGTGATAACGGCATAATGCCCCTGAAACCAAGTCGAAAATGTATGACAGTCTTTTTCCAGGGACCTTGTGCTTCCTGCAAACCAAGTGGAAGTTTCGTGACCCGTTCAACCACCACTTCCCATGTGTGTGTGTTGTCATATCAATCATCAAACATCTGTGTTTTAAAGACCAACTGTTAACAAAGTAAAGGCTTTGAGTTCAATGATACCTCACATTTCAAAGAAAGGATAGTTCAATCCAAGTCGATATAATTATTGTATAAAGGATACTTGGAGGCCTTTTCCGACCTGACTTGTTTCTTATCTTCTTGTCAAGTGTTGTGGACACCTTTTTGGAATCACCAACGTTTTGCCAGCTATCAACGCTTTTTTTGAATTCAAGAACGTAGATACATGTAGGCCTCTTTCAAGACATTCAACGGGGACTATATTCCAAAGATTTAAGATGCACTTACAATAATTCTAGGACATGGCACTTATTGCTCCCGACACTGACTTGACCCATTATATTGCCGTTTTTATTGGAAACCTGAAACAGTGTGTGTTCCTGATTCCTTGATCTTAAGTGTTCATTTACTGATTTCACAATTGACTTCTGTTGAAACCGGTTTCAGGGATAACCTTTGCGTTTCAATTTGGAAATTCCGTAAACATCAGCAATCCTCATTGTATTAAGTCAGCGTTGAACCCAGGTCATTTTCTCTGTGTCATGATCCAATATGGAAATCAGTGTAGCCCTTTACCAGTAACGATAACAACACACTCGCATACCCATGCATCAAAAGAAAAAAACAACCTATTGTGCTTCATAGTTCACATCACATTTTAGAGAGCTTTTTTGATGCCACACTTTCAAAAAAAAAAGAAAAAAGTTGTAACACTTGTGTAGTCAATTGTACGATTATGACTACTAATGACTCTGTTATATAAAGATACCAGAGTATCTTTACTCTTGAAATGAATCACCCTGTTATGTACATTTTCTCCATATCTTGAAATGAGTAATTCTGTTTTATATATACTGAACAACAAAAGTTCCTGTGACATTGAAAAAAATTCAATGCAAAGTTATGTTTTTTACCAAATCTGAAACAATTTCGGTTTGCAACAGATAAAAGACTCCTGTAAGTGTTCAAATGGTATAATTTGCAATACTGACTTCAGAAAATGTGTGATTTCATTAAAAAAAACCATGAACATGCCGAAATGTCAATTTACAAATCAATAGCGTGTGTGTCCACCTCTGGTTGCGATGCAAGAAACATATCTTCGTCTCATGGAATGGACGAGGCATCGCACAAAGTCCTGTGGGATATCTGTCCGTATCTGCTGGAGCATGTTTCGAAGTTCCTGGAGTGTCTGTGGAACACGTGGTTGACGTCGAAGGCGCCGATCCATCTCATCCCACATGTGCTCGATTGGTGAGAGATCAGGGAGCAAGCCGGCCAGGGGATGACATTCACGTTGTTTTGTTGAAGAGAATCCTGAACAAGTCGAGCAATGTGACGCCGCGCCGTTCTCATGTTGAAAGGTAATGCCTGGGTCATGACGACATAAAAACGGTAGAACAACAGGGCCGATGATCTCGTCGCGATAGCGCTGTCCATTGAGATTTCCCTCTACCACTATCAAACGGGTCCTCTGTCTTGCTGTAATCCCACCCCATACCATAACGTTGCCGCCCCCGAACCGATCTTCTTCCATGACACAATGATTGACGTAACGTTCACCTCGACGTCGGTACACTCGAATCCGTCCATCGCTGTGGCTGAGGTGAAAACGAGACTCGTCAGTGAATAGAACTTGTCCCCACTGCATGGCCGTCCAGGGTAGGCCCTGTCTGCACCACTGAAGAAGTGCTTGACGGTGGTTTCCTGTCAAAATGGGACGTCTGGTTGGTCTTCTGAGGACAATCCCTGCACATCTGAGGAGACGACGTGCGGTTTGTGAAGATATTCGTCGAAGGCCAGGGGTGCATCTTGCAGTCACTGTTGCTGGCTGGAATCGTGTGTTGTTCGAATCCAGTCGTCTTGTCGATTATTGGTTACGCGTGGCCTGCCACTCCGAGGATGGTGTCCGACTGCATTCGTCTGTTGCCAACGTTGCCATAAACACTAAATGGTGTTTTTGTGGACGTTAAATTGTCTTGCAACATCACGTTGACTCGATCCTGCTTCAAGCATACCAATGGCTCGCAGACGCTCATTTTCGGACAAGCGTGGCATTTCGTAATGTTGAGTGCATATGGAATCTCGTTAATGCACAGGTTTTAATACCCATTCTTGGGTAGTGAAATGCATGGGGCTTGCATGAAAGTCCACTTTTGCATGGAATGCATGCTTTTCTGTATAAGTTGCGTTTTTGTGACTTGATTTTATACATGTACTATAATATTGAAAACCTATGTTTACTTGTTTGAAGAATACACTAAAACATTGGTGTCACAGTAACTTTTGTTGTTGAGTATATATATTCAAAAAAGAAAGAAACGCAAAACGGACATTTTTGGCATTAAAAGCAAAATTAGCGGACCAAGAGGTGCAAACATTTAGAGGTTTAATGTGTTATAGTGTCAGTGACAAATGTCCTGGATCAAAATGATCACAACAAGGACATGCAAACCATTGAGTAGTACATATACCTCAACTCCATGTGATCCGGTAGCACATTGTTGACTGAAGCATCGATCCAGAGATAACAGTAGCACGTCAAGCATGCTCATGTTTTTTATCAAAGTGATAAATCCCGGTTAGCCCCAATTATGTTTCTAGGTTTGTCAGCACCATACCCGTGCTCGTGGGTTTCACCGAAGTGGTAAACTTCTGAGACCTGCATCACTTCGGGCTTTCCTCCCACATTAAGCTGACACGCCGCGATATAACTAGAATACTGTTAAAAGCGGCGTTAAACCCAACTCACTCACTCACACTATCAAAGTGATTAACGTCTAATACTGTGTATCATTTCCTCCAATATTAAACCTGTATACTTTTGTGCAACTGAAATAATGTTTTTAAGTAGTAGTAATAAGTAGTAATAAAACCAATATGGAGATATTGTATGCAACACAAAAACGGCAAAGACTAAAACATTTTCTTTTTAATAATATACCCGGGCGTTAGATAAACACCTTCTGTTAAAAAACACATATTACCTTTGTAAGGATTTTTTTTATGCCAGGGTAGTACACTGTTTTGCAACAGTGAGTAAATGAGTGAGTTGACTTTAACGCTGCTCGTAACATTATTTCAGTTCTATATGAGAGGAATGCCCGAAGTTATACAGGGCTAAATCGTTTCACAATACCAATAGCCTGTTACAACAATGTATTGCCTGCAAGGCTGTCTCTCTGATAATCCACACATGAAAGAGTCTTTGTTGTTACACTTTGTTACTTTGCTTTACAGGTGACGGAGATTCCCAACCTCCTCATCAACATGAAACCACATTTCTCCCTCCGCCACGAACTGATGAAAGTATGTCGCATTTTTGCCTTGAGATTAACTCAACCTCACTAATCATATAATCTTCGGATGTCAGGTGGTCAGAGGGATGTTTTAGCTTTCACGAGTTTCACGAGGTTGGCCGTGTGTAAATGCCTGTAACATGTCTTTGTGTCTCATATGTTTAAAACCCTTATTGTATTGAATTTACAATTGGCCAAAAGGCTTAAATGATGAAAGTATGTCGCATTTTTGCATTGAGATTAACTCAACCACACTCATCATCTAGTCCTCGGATGTCAGGACCAACTGAATTAGACCAGTGAGTCAAACTCGTTTTACCCTCGTTTTCAGTTTGTACAAGCCAAGTAATGAGCCAATTACTCGAAAGCCGACTATAACGTATAAGGTCTTCCCGTTTCAGTTGTTTGAAACAATTATTGTAATGAATAGAACCTTGGCGCAGTTGAAGCTAAACGACAAAGGCTAGTTTACACTGTACTGTACTTTAATGTTACAAAGGACATTTTGCACGTCACTGATTGAATAATTACGTCGTAAATTATGATTCAAAGTTAACGTTCTATTACATTGACATCCCTCAGTTCCATGTTGTGGTATAATGTACTAATGACTCACAAGGATGACTGTTAATAGATCGGGTGGTACGACTCGGTGACTCGGTGAGTGTCATCACATGCAAAGACAAGTCAACTGTTGAAAACCGGGATCGGGTGGTCAGGCTCGCTGACTTGGTTGATGCATGTCATCGATCCCGATTGGGTGGATCGATGCTCATGATTTTAATCACTGGATTGTCCGGTCCAGACTCGATTATTTACAGACCGCCGTCATATAGCTGGAATATTGCTGAGTGCTGCGTTAACCAACAAACCAACCAACCAACCAACCAGCCTATTTTATGTTACTGAAGCGTCACATTTGGCGTCCTCCACATGTCTACCATAAATCCTTTTGAAAGTTATGCTGATGCCTTGAATGTTGAACAAGAGTCGGATGATGCTCTTTGAAATCTTCGTAGAAAGAGTGAGTGAGTGAGTGAGTTGGGTTTTACGCCGCTTTTAACAATATTCCAGTTATATCACGGCGTCTCAGCTTAATGTGAGAGGAAAGCCCGAAGTGATGCAGGTCTCAGACGTTTACCACTTCGGTGAAACCCACGAGCACGGGTATGGTGCTGACAAACCAAGAAACATAATCGGGGCTAACCGGGATTCGAACCCACAATCATAGGTTTCTGGCGTGCCCAAGGGACGCAACCCTGCACAGCGAATCGCGGCGCTTTAGACGACTGGGCCACCCGTGCCCCCTCGTAGAAAGAGCTGCTTGGATCTTGAGACACGTACTGTTGGCAATCAGGATCAATAGCCACGAAGGCCTCTCGTGCGATGTCGCTTATCTTTAGCAATAAACAATAAATATTATATAAAACAGTGAAATAAGCCACCAATTCTATCATCCGTATGTTAAACATGAAACATTCATGAAAATGTCACACACACCTTTTCCTAAAAGTCAAGATCCTTCATTAGTCGTCAAAATTTTAAATTAAAAAATGAGATCAGGTCAATTTTGATTGGATCACTTAGTAAGAGTGGTCAGTGAATGTTGTGTTTCTCCACAGTGAGCAATAGTGCGGCTGTGGATTGTGGATTGTTGATTAATGAGTTTTGGACCAGGCAAACCAGTAATGACACGTGCCGATTCCAGTTTATGGAACTGTTGAGGAGTACTTTTCCATTGACCTATTTATCCCAATTTGTGTCACCACCACATATGAAACACATTTAGTGTGAGCACGAGATTATTTCAGTTAATGTGACAGTCCCATGTCACCCTCTTCTTTGACGATATGAGGTGAGGTGAGGTGAAATGGGGTCTAACGTCGCGTCCAAGATTATTGCACTTATATAGCGACGTGCATGCACGTGTATGTTTGGCGTGTGGCTGCTTGTACTAGTCCGGACTGATGCCGATTTATAGTGCTAGCACACTGAGATACCATGCCGCAGTTTAACATGAATGCCCCACTCAGACACAGTCTACTAACTCCGAGCCGACAAGTCCTTGTTTTAGCCCCTTAATGCCGAGCGCTAGACGGGGTAACAACAAGTACCATCTTTTAACGTCTTTTGCTATGACGCGGCTGGTGATGGAACCCTGGACCTTCCGCTCTCCGGGCGGACGCTCTACCATTAGACCACGGAGGCGGTCCTTTGACGATATGACAGCAGAGCCCACAGTCATGAGACCTTCATGCAACATAATTGGTAGCTTCAGCTCGTAGACGAAAAGTCGCCCGTAGTAAATATGTATGGGAAATTCATGCAAAGACAAGTCATTTTTTCACCTGAAAAGGAAAAGAACATATGTTAGAAGTCAAACTACTTTACTGCATCAGACAGGAGTTTTGTCACTGTTTGGTCATATTTGGAAATTTCCTCAGCATTTCTACCATAACATAAAAAAATAATGCTCCACCGAGGCCTTGAATGTTATTAGAACTTTTGGAAGTACAGTAAAGTACGGTTATAACGAACTCAAAGGGACTACTAATTTTAGCTCGTTATAACCGTAGTTCGCTATAAGCATATATACAGCATAACTACAGCAAATAGTCGGGACCAAAACAGTAAGTTCGTTATATCGGTCAGTTCGTTATAAGCGTGTTCGTTATAACCGTAGTTTACTGTATGCATCGTACAGACAAACATGGTCCCCCGATCCTGTGTAGTTGGCTCTTATAACAAGCGTGGGGCATTAAAGGCATACTGTATTGTATTATCCATAAGATTAGATATATACGAGTTCATAAAATGCATAAAATGCACTACGTGCACTAATATGCGCACTAGCCCAAATATCACTTCACGCGCACCATTGTATTGCTAACGTGATGCTGACGTCATTGTTGACGTCATTGGAATCTTATTGTCACGTAAGGTCAGACGATGACGTGACACTAGAAACAACATCATAGCTGGAATTGTTTTCTAAGATCTCAGCACTAAAGTGATCGTAACTCCCAAATCCTAACATAGACCTACGACAGTCGTTGCTCTAATGTTCCTTTGTACAACGGCACACAGTGCATTTTTCTAAAAGGAATCTTTTATGAATGAATAAATAATGGGAAATAAAAAAATGATAATACTCGCATGTGTGTTTAACTGATTTTACGAAACTTGTGTAAGAATTCATAGATTACCCTCGCTCCACTCCAAATACAAAAGATTTGACTCTCGTTTCGAAAAATCAGTATGACACACATTCTCGTACAGTAATCTCTATGTACTGCATGCAGACGTTCGGAAGAAAGTAGAATAAGATTTCTAGGTACGTTCTTGAACAAATATTTTGGTAATGAGTAACTAAACTAGTCTAATCTAAATACAATACAGCTGTATCATTTGTGCATATACCAAGATCAGGTTAGATACTAGTAGTTCATATAGGATGTACGTTCAAAAAGTTTTGAGAATGATGTTTTCTTGTTTCACCCAGTGTTGTTGTCATTATGTGCAGGTCTGAGACCTCGGACGCACAGAGATGACAAGCTAGAAGTGGATTTCGGACAACATACGTTCTCCTTTTCAATCGGATAACGGCGAAAGTTCTGTGGTTATATAACATAAGTGTAAACCATACCGCCAGAACGTCACATGCAGCGTTAGAAGCAGGACCATAAAAAGCTGAATTTCACAACAGGTGCAAGGGAAGACGATGTTATTCAAAGGAAATAACTCTTAAGGCTTGTTATGATTCTTGTTACTTGCTGACAGTGGGAGGAATACCTTGTATCTGTTGAAGTTTTTAAATAACATGCAATCTCATTGAATTGTCTTTTCAGTCTATTTGTTTGGAAATATTTATGTGCAAAAGTACCACACGTGTCTTCCAATTAGGTTTTTGCAACCAACATAGATTAAAGAAAGTCTTTAGCATCAGATGTTTCATTTGACCATTACACACACACACACGCACGCACGCACGCACGCACACACACACACACACATTTCAACATGTTTCGAAAGTAAACATGTTAAGAATTTTAACCTCTTTCAATAAAGTGCATATCATGAGGCAATAAGTCAAATGCAGATATTAAATATATTGAAATTAGATGTGCAAATCAGATTCACAGGCTCTTCACATATAACACATATACCACAAGCACTTACAACGAGGGGGTACGGGTGGCCCAGTCGTCTAAGGCCCCGCGATTCGGATTGCAGAGGGCACGCCAGAAACCTATGATTGTGGGTTCGAATCCGGATTATGTTTCTAGGTTTGTCAGCACCATACCCGTGCTCGTGGGTTTCACCGAAGTGGTAAACATCTGAGACCTGCATCACTTCGGGCCTTCCTCCCACATTAAGCTGACACGCCGTGATATAACTGGAATACTCTTAAAAGCGGCGATAAACCCAACTCACTCACTAAATGACCAATAAATGTACAGTCACCGATTTGATAGTAAGTTCCAAATCTTCCGTTCACAACATATATGTTCAGAATTGAACACATTTCCAAAATAGTTTTTCCAAAGTTATTTAGTAATCTATCACATGGATATCTTTCCCCCATTGGACACATCTGGGACATGATAAGGAGACGTGTGCGTCAACGTCATAGGCTGCCAACCACGCTGGTAGAACGTCAGGCGTTGCGAGAGGATTTGGACAGACCCACTCAAATCGCCATTGGGTGACTACGCAGTATGCCGCAGTATTCCCAGTTCGTTCATTATCATCGTGCAACTATTACTAGAAACTTATATCTCTTACAATTTTGGAATTATTACATTATTCCCCTACTTTTTTTACTATGATAAATACTATTAACATGCAACTTTAACATCCAAATCAAGATGAAGTTGAGTGACAGCATCTGAGGATTGGCTATGGTCGAAAATGGCCAACGAAAAAATGAGACCAACGGATTTCATGAACAATTCCAACCTGGGCGAAGAAAACATACAAAATACTCTCATTCTATATATTTAGAGAAACTGTTGATAACTGCAAATTAAAATACATTATTAACTATCGATAATAACACATAAAGAAAAGTCTAGTTTCTAGTGATCGGTTATTGCTGAGAACCCACTCCATGGTCCAGATGAGAGAGCGTCTGCCCGGAGAGCGGAAGGTCAGGGGTAAGATCCCCGGCCACGTCATACCAAAAGACGTTAAAAGATGGTATTTATTATCACCTTCCTGGCCCTCGGCATTAAGGACAAGGACTGGTCGGCTCGTTGTATGCTGTGTCTGAGTGGGATATTCGCACACGCACACGCACACACACGCACACACACACACACACACACACACACACACACACACACACACACACACACACACACACACACACACAGAGTTGGGTTTAACGCCGCTTTTAACAGTATTACAGTTACTCCGAAGTGATGCAGATCTTAGACGTTTACCACTTCGGTGAAACCCACGAGCACGGGTATGGTGCTGACAAACCTAGAAACATAATCGGGGCGAACCGGGATTCGAACCCACAATCATAGGTTTCTGGCGTGCCCAAGGAACGCAAATCTGCAAAGCGAATCGCGGCGCCTTAGACGACTGGGCCACCCGTGCCCAATCCCACGTTGTGAAGATACAGGTGGTAAGATACTAAATCCGTACGCCACACGTTTGTCGTACAAGATTGACCTCGTTTCATTCGTTTTGATTGGATAACCGTGACCTCTGTCACACAGGAATAACTTATTTCATTTATGAAAAAAATCACGAGACGTCATTTACTTTTACCAGGCAGAACTGAAGGAATCTCATGATTGTGAGAGACATTTCCGAAACACTTTATTACACAAAACAAGATAGTCACACGCATTCAATTCGCCTTGCGTTCTTTATTAAGTGTGCATAGAGCTACTGCAGACATTATATAACCGAGCTATATCCATATGCAGCATCTACCGATAGACAGAGGGTCCCCATGAGCGTGACGCACCCGACCACTTTCGCGACTTCCAATATGATTTATCGTAAAAGATTAAGCGTGGTGAATTGAAGTCAGTTTAAACTATCTGGACATATATCTAACGTTTGATGCTCCGGTTCGAGCATTCGTGGAGTATTTTGTAACATTGCTTCCGAAGGTATTTCTTCATGACTGAACATACACGACTTCACGACCAGATCACTCTCAGTGAACAGTGTCGATTTTAAAGTGCAAGTCCACTGAGATACTATCCGCCAGTTCGAAAACTCCGCGGAAGTGTGCCTGACGTCTGTATTTGTGGCCCAAACATCCCCAATGTGAAAATAACATTCGCGATTGGTCTCTAGCGTAAAACGCTGTGTGTTTTCTTATTCCGATGGTGACATTGCCCTTCGTTCGAAGCTGTCACTGACATGTAAGCAGACTTGAGTTTGTTGATTTTCACGCCTTCAGTATAGTGTCGTACAGTTAAGATAAACGTTTTTAGCGAGCACTCTAATTTCCCTCCCCCAAAATGGTACCGACTGGTATTATTTATAAAGTCAGCTGACTGCACAGCCGGGACCCCGTCGAAGCGTTGGACCGAGTGTTGGTCCGAGATTCAAAGCGCGGCGCTAATTGACTTTCAAAAGTTTCTTTCAGTTTCCTGCGTACAAACAAACAATGCACTAGAATTACCATAAGTTCAATAAATTTTAAAAATTAGATCTTGGGCGTTGGTGCTGTCATGTTTGCACACACAACAGAAGGAACACGTTGTTAAAACGAATGCATAGAAATGTCAACAAGGCCCATATTTGGGCATATATCAATATTCATGTGCAACCAGAGTTGTAACCGGTTTCAGTCTGGTCTGTTAACGAAAGAAAGTTCTTATGTATTTACACTTAAATACATATTTGACGTGGGTAATAAATAAAATACCACACTAATTCTCGTTGGATTCCACTTTTACGAAACTCGTGAACTTTCTATGGTATCTGACCTCGCTTTCGCTCGAACAGATATCATAGAAAGTCCAGTCGTCTCGTGAAACAGGTATCTAACGAGAATGAGAACGAGTGTAGTGTTCTCTGTGTACAATTCCGACTACACAATGAGCATGTGTTTATGATTCACTATCAAATAGTAAAGATACGAGGTGTTTTTGGAAATGTGCGCGTATCCTGCCCCACCAGTGGCACCCGTCACAAACATGTCTAAATAATCCTAGAAATGTTCATGAGATATCAATGTCCAGGGTCAATGTGACCAAGGATGTACCATATTTTAGAAAGATTCATCGTGTTCATTATATTACATTAACTTAAGAATTCATATGGCGCAATTACAAATTAATAACTGCTCAAATGCGCTCAGAGTGAGTGAGTGAGTATGGTTTTACGCCGCTTTTAGCAATATTCCAGCAATATCACGGCGGGGGACACCAGAAATGGGCTTCACACATTGTACCCATGTTGGGAATCGAACCCGGGTCTTCGGCGTGACGAGCGAACGCTTTAACCACTAGGCTACCCGACCGCCCCACAAATGCGCTTAGACCAAGATTGATCTCGTCAAAGGATCTCTTGAAGAGACAGGTCTTGGGTGTCTTTTTAAAGTTTGTCAGATTTTCTGCTTCTCGGAGGTCTTGTTGCAGATTGTGCCATAGCAATGGTGAGGTGAGGTGAGGTGAGGTGAAATGGGGTTTAACGTCGCGTCCAAGATTATTGCACATATATAGCGACGTGCATGCACGTGTATGTGTGTATGCGTGGCTGCTTGTACTAGTCCGGACTGATGCCGATTTATAGTGCTAGCATACTGAGATACCATTCCGCAGTTTAACATGAATACCCCACTCAAACACAACATACTGACTCCGAAAACGACCAGTCCTTGTTTTAGCCCCTTAATGCCGAGGGCCAGACGGGGTAACAACAAGTACCATCTTTTAACGTCTTTTGGTATGACGCAGCTGTTGTAAGTATAGTGTCAACTCCATTAAGAGTATTCACAGCTCTGCATTACTTTTAATATAATCCTATTCTAGAATCACACCTCTTCTCTATTTGATGTTTTATTTCACTTATTTGATGTAATCGAAATCCATCAACACTATCCATATATTCAGATGCTTCATCGACGCGGCCGGGGATCGAGCCCCGGACCTTCCGCTCTCCGGGCGGACGCTCTACCACTAGACCACGGAGGCGGTCTTCATAGCATAGCATGGCGACATGTTCTTTCGCCATATGTTTTGGTACGTGACCACGTACCACGACCACACAGGTCTTTGCCATTTTTGCCCCGTTCTCCGGTTACAGAACCTTGAGTCATGATAATTGTATGGCTTGTGTCACTTGTCAGAAACGATGTTACATTCCCATCAACCAGATTGAAAGACATCAAATGTACATACAGTTTCTCCTTTCACGACCGACGTACTCATATCACGTTGTTTGTACCCATACATGGAGAACAGCCACAAGGTAGGGTACACGTACATCATCACATTGCAACCCGATACCTCTGGGAATACAACCCTGCACACACGTATTAGCTTCAGTATGCAGGCCTTGGAGTATGGAATGTCAACCCAAAAGTAACCTTTTACACCATGGCATATGTCATTAGCACGCATATATGGGACCAACACATTGTACTTTGTACTATTTAACTCGCTGTTTCTCCCTACCTGAGACACACATATCGTGGTACACACAGGCGTGGTGACCACATCGACTGTACTGGGAGAACTGCCAACCATGACTGGGATAGTTGTCTCAGTTCTGGTAACTGTGTTACTGGTGACTTCGGGGAGTGCAACACCGACTGAGGGTAAGGACGCTTTATATTTCTTTGGTTTACTAAATGTGTAAGCACCTGGGACCTGCATCCATTTGAGCTTTCTTTATATTCATGGCCTTAATATTACTTTCAAAAGGTTTTTTGGCAGAGATGTGGGGGGCGTTTCCAAATTTGACGCATCAGTGACAAAAATGGGGTCCGATGTAATCCGTATATACTGATCGAATACAATACATGTTGTTTGATACACGAGGAATTACTCATATTCAAGAGATATTAACTTGGTTTGATGCACAAACGAACATACTGGTACTGACACTCATGGACGCATCAAAGACGCCGTGGCTCGCGATGCATTTGTCTCGTGCATGATTAGTGTGTAAAGTTTGGAAATCACGTGCAGCATATTGTGATAAGAATAAAGACACTCCGAGGTAACACTTGTTAACACTTTAGTTTTGTCATTAATTCCTACACATTGGAAACATCTCTTTTTAAAATACATACTTCTTTGTATGTTTCTATGGTTCCCGTTTCTTTCGGCGGTGAGTATATATAGAATTCTAAACGAGCTCCCGTGTCATATCAGTTTTATGAAACGAGTGAATAGTTCTTGTATCTGATGATCGAAAGCGAGGCAGATAACAGAACTATTTACGAGTTCAAAACACGAGTTCACGAGTTTCGTAAGATTAGTATTACACGGAGTGAGTTTAGCATTATATTTATTACTTGCCATTATAAACTTATATCATAATTTTACTGTCGTGTTTGAAAAAGGCAAAAATCCACACGATCCACAGCATACTCCAGTTAAGGTTAACAGAATGATACTACAAACACGTTAAAAGATGACACGCATTACTTGCCATACAACGGCCCACATTTAGAATTCGGGAGTCCGTTCCACGAAGTTGTCGTAGCGCTAAGGTTATCGTAACTCACAAACTTTAACATGGAATTACGACTGTCGTGCTACAGTACGACCCTGCCCTGCTCCACAAAGTTTACAATCACGTCACAGGGTACTATGACGTAGTTTGTGGAAAATGTTGCAATGTCATGTGGCGTCAGCTTAGCAACGGGGTCATCGATTGTGCATAAGCTCTTCTCGGTGATCTGTCATCTCCTCGCGCAATGTCGTTGAATATGCCATCTTTAGAGATGCTGACAGCTTTCAATATATTTTAGTGAAACTTGTTACCGTAGTACATAGACACGCGATTTAGTATCACACAGCTGTATGTTTAATAAACGAGTGATGTCTTCACGGGCAAACAATAATTTTATTTTATACCATATGTTCCCATGGTTTTTTTTAGGTGAACAATTGACTTGTCTTTGCATGTGTTTGTGGTAGTTGCCAAGGGTGGGGTAGGATACGCTCACCTTTTCACTTATACCTGGTATCATCACTATGTGATATTGTTATACCTTTATCAACAATCTTGGGGCTGGTCGGGTAGCCTAGTGGTTAAAGCGTTCGCTCGTCACGCCGAAGACCCGGGTTCGATTCCCGACATGGGTACAATGTGTGATGTCCATTTCAGGTGTCCCAGTCCGTGATATTGCTGGAATATTGCTAACAGCGGCGAAAAACCATACTATTAAGAATCTTGCAATTCCATTGGATAATCCGTACCACGTGACGAAACAATACATTTCAATGTAGATCCCCAAATAATATGACTGACACTGACCTCGAATATTGACTCGTCACATGTCACGTGATGAATATTGAATCAAGATGGCGTCTGGTACTAACATTTCACGATTCGCAGCTAAAACTGCAATGAAACATATTGAGGATAAAAAGGCTTCATAACATTGAACGTGAATTTGGGTTTAACAAATTTAAAAGGACTGACTGCACTTGACGAGGCCCCTACTTGGTCTGATCACCTCAGGGGTCGGGTCGTCGGATTCTTGTTTTTTGCATATTGACCTCGTCAAGAGTAATTATTTGCATAGTGATTCATAGACACAGAATCATGAAAGAGGCGGGGTCGTGCAATCTGTCGAGATTTCTTATTGAAAAAGGTTTTGTCGCTTTCTTTTCACATTAAACTTATTCACCGTCATAAAACGGATAAACTGCTGAAATATTGAGCTCTGTGACCAGTGAAATTTCATACGTTCTGACAAATTGTTTTCTAAGTGGGGACCCGTATAACAAATACATATAAAACAGCTCAGTATTTTGCCATGACGTATGAACTGTATTGATATGAAAGAATCGGGCGATCCTCAAATAAAATAGAGTCGTATATGGAGAAGTATATATATATAAAAGGTTTAAAAGTATATATACCACTTGAGACCATCCGGACGTTCTTTCACCCCTCGCGTTAGTGACCCGGACGTTTATGCACCCTTCAATTAGTGACAAAGTGTCCCCTCGGATACACTTAGCAGTATAAAATTTGTCATCGCCTTGAACTTGTACAGCTACATGACAGGTGCCAATCTTCCTTGATATTGCAGACATTGAAGGGTATTTTAAAGACTTGAGGAAAGATGTCATGCAAAGGTTTGATGGATTGGAAAAGTCAAACGAAGCGCTGCTCAAGGAATGTAAGAGTTGTTCATTCATTATTTCAAATATTAAATTTACATGCAACTGAATTTGCCTGAAGCATATTGTACACATCTACTGCATAACGTTGCTCATCTATATAAAGTTTATATTGTTTCCTTTCCATTTCAAAAGACGAGGGGATTCAGGGATAAAATGACCCCCCAGTTAACCTTGCCTCTCCTACGTTGATCGCATTGTCGGATCTGTAACATGACTCATGGACTTGCTATTTTCTGGCGTTGACGTCATCATCATCATCATCATTCATTATCCATCATCCATCATCCATCATCACCAATCATCATCATCATCATCATCATCATCATCATTCATTATCCATCATCAATCATCCATCATCACCAATCATCATCATCATCATCATCATCATCATCATCAATCATCACCATCAATCATTATCCATCATCCATCATCCATCATCACCAATCATCATCATCATCATCATCATCATCATTCATTATCCATCATCAATCATCCATCATCACCAATCATCATCATCATCATCATCATCATCATCATCATCATTCATTATCCATCATCCATCATCCATCATCACCAATCATCATCATCATCATCATCATCATCATCATCATTCATTATCCATCATCATCATCATCATCAAGCATCATCATCAATCATCATCATCAGTCATCATCACCAATCATCATCAATCATCACCATCAATCATCATCAACCATCATCATCATCATCATCATCATCATCATCATCAACAACATCAACCAGCATCAATCATCACCAGTCATCACCATCAATCATCATCAATCACCATTAATCATCAATCACCATTAATCATCAATCATCAATCATCAATCATCATCAATCATCATCAATCATCAATCATCATCAATCATCATCATCATTATTATTTACAGATTAAAATTAAAAATGCAGCAAAGAGGGTTTGGGTGATCCTGGCACAGTCAGGCTGGTTAGGCTCATCATCAGCTTAGGGCCCTTGCCCCCCTCTACACGCAGCCCAGACAGCGAATAGGACTTCTCCCAGGAAGCGCTGCCTAGTCAAACCCACCCAGAACTTGTCGGAGAATGTGAAGACTCCCCAACACTGCAGCCTTCTGCATTACCCATATTGTCAGAAGGGCTGCGTTCCTGGTAGCAAACCCGGGTACTCTCCCGATGTCAGTCAACAGATTGGGAGCTACCAAACCTAAGGCACCGAGAACAATGTGGAGTCGGACAATTTGGTACTTGGGATGCAATCGTGACATTTCGAAAGCGAGGTCTGCATATTTGCCATGTTTTTCCTCAGTCTTGTCAATCACATTATTGTCAAAAGGGACCGAAAATTCAATGATATAAATGGTTTTATTGGATTTATCAAAAAGGACAAGATCAGGTTTGTTGGCCTGGATATATCGGAGGCTGTTTACGGGCCTATTCCAAAGAATTTTGTATGTATCATTTTCCATGACACCCTCTACATATTCCGGGTCGTACCATGGACAGGCCTCTGTGTCAAAACCACAAGCATGGCGAAGACAGTAATAAAATGCTCGATCTACACCATCATGTCCTTTAAGATAAGGTGCTTGTGCCAAAGCTACTCACAATGTGTTCGGCAGTCTCATTAAATTCATTACATAATCTACATTTCATATTTACATTTTGATGCAAAATCACACATTGGCGGTTTCGAGTGGGAAGTGGCTGGTCCTGAGCAGCAAACAGAAAGCCTTCTGTTTCACTTTTCAAGCCAGTCGACTTCATCCAAGCGAAGGACTCTACAGGATTGCTGATCTTCTCAACACACTGCACAAACACTCGATGCAGTGGTCGTTCAGAAAGCCTCTCCTTGAAAAACTGGGCCGACTTGATATAGCACTTCGCTTGGTTGACACTCATTTCTGTACCCTCCAGCAGTACAGAACCATCAACGAAATCAACACCGACATTGAGATTATGTCCCACATCCTTGGCTCGTTTCAGAAAACTGTGGAATGCCTTGTTTTCATCATGAGTCTTGACATTCTTTACAAGAGGATCATCAGACAAATACATTTGTGCAAAAGTGTACAAAACAATTCTGTCATGAAGAGCCCCAACGTTAATCAAACCACGTCCTCCCATAATGATTGGTAAATATAAGCGATTGAGGGAAGAGCGGGGGTGGTGGGATCTATTGGCTGACATGATTCTTCGTGTGAGGGTGTCAATACCCTGAAATTCTTGTTTCGTCCAATCAACAACACAACCCAAAAATATGAAAGGACGGGTACAGCATATTATTATTATTATTATTATTATTATTGTTGTTGTTGTTGTTGTCGTTGTTATTGTTGTTGTTTTTAATATTATCTGCATGTTACAGTGCATCAATTTGAAGATGCCATTGGACCAGAAGCAAAGGAAAAGGCAAACAGGAACCAAGGTAGTGGGTTTTGTATTCTCCATAGCACATAGTGTTTAGTGATTATGTTTTGACGAGCTCGCCCAAACCCATTGAATCCCGAGAAGAACCATTGCATGTCCATTTTTTTCAGTGCTATATACAGGTTATATACAGGGCATCCTTGTAGACAATGTAGAGACAAGACAGGGCATAATTGTAGACAATGGAGACTAGACAGGGCATCATTGAAGACAATGTACACAGGACAGGTCATACTTGTCGACATCGTAGACTAGACAGGGCATCATTGTAGACAATGTAGAGACACGACAGGGCATCCTTGTAGACAATGTACACAGGACAGGTCTTCCTTGTAGACAATGTAGACTAGACAGGGCATCATTGTAGACAATGTAGATTAGACAGGGCATCATTGTAGACAATGTAGACTAGACAGGGCATCATATATATATATCTTGAAAAGACGGTTGAATAATTCCTGTGACAAACTTGTGGAATCACAGGCCGGATTTCGTCAGCGGTTCTCCGCCATTGACAATATATTCATTTTATAGTCAGTGATTCAACGGTATTTATCAAAGAAAAGGGGAAAGTTTATGTTTATGTTTTTTTTAAAAGCTTTTGGTTTGGTTAATAGCTCAAAATTATGGAAGATTGTAAAAAGGAGTGTTTGTCTCCAAAAATGTTAAATGGAGCACAAGCTATTTGCTATTCGAGTACGTTCATGTGTTAAGTCTAATACAGTGAACTACGTCTATAACGAACACACTTATACCGACCTGATGGATATAACGAACTGTTTTTGGTATAGGCCATTTGCTGTATATATGACGTATATATGTTTATAACGTACTACGGTTACAACGAACTAAAGTTAGTGGTCCCTTCGAGTTCGTTATAACCGTAGTTTACTGTAATATGTATTCGAATATGTTTGAATGGGATTTGGGTGTACAACAGGTTTGTGTCCTTCGTCCATATCTGTTCTCTATGTTTGTCAATGAACAAGCACAGAAAATTGAATCCACATGTAAATTTGGTGACCAATTTTATCCAAAGATGATTGATCTGATTTTGTTATTGCTTGCCGACGATTTCGTTTTGATATCTGATACAGTTTCTGGTCTACAGAAAAGAATATGCATATTAGAATCATACTGCACTAATAACCAGTTAACAGGTAATTTGGATAAGACTAAACTAGTGTTGTTTTAAGAATAGGTGGTATTCATTCGAGAAGTTAAAGATGGAATTATGGAGGGAAATGTCTCGAGGGCGAGGCATTCTATAAGTATTTGAGTATAACTTTTAGTAAAATATTATCTTGGGATAAGCATTGTTTTGATGAGCATATTAAATATATTACAAGATATAAACCAATTCCCTTTGAAATAGTTTTTAGGATATTTGATACTAAAATTATGCCTATTTTAATGTATGGGTCTGAGGTTTGGGGGTTAGGTAGTGTAGCAAACATAGAAATAATTCACATGTTTGCATGTAAACGCTTTCTTGGAGTGAAGATCTCAACACCAAATTACACAGTATTGAGTGAATGTGGCATTTACTCTTTGTATATTTTTGCATTTAAAAGTTCTATCAAATTTTGGATTAGATTATTGCATATGCCAAAAGAAAGATATCCACAACTTGAAATTATAAATTCTTTGAAGGTACTTTTGGAACGGAATCATGCCTTAAACGTATAATAATTGTAAAAGTCCGCATGGCCTTGACACAATGTCGTTGCAGTTCCCAGGATCTCAAAATAGAAACTTGCAGGTATTTCAATATCCCCAGAGATAAAATGTTGTGGACTCTTTGTAATGAATGTGACGTCGAAGATCAATGCCATTTTTTGATGGTTTGTATCCGGTATAAAACACTGCATGAGAAGTACAAACCTACTAAATTCATGTCATACCCAACACGTTACAAACACAGTATCCTTTTGGCATCAACGGAAACAAATGAAATTCGACACCTGACTATATATATTTATCATGCAAATTGCTTCAGAACGATCTATGTTGACTGATAATCAATTTTGTTACATATATCATATGCTGACTGACCACCTGTATGAACATGAGATTGAAAGACACCTACGAAAGAATCGGAACGAACTGGTAACGCTAGCTCAGTTGGGGTAATTTTGGAATACATTTGGAACATCACCAAGGCTATTTTCAATCATCTGGTGTCCTCAGTGCGCCGCTGCTGCCTTGCCTGTATCAACGCAAATGGTGGTCAAACCCGTACTTGACTTTCTTAATTGAGTTGTTACACCAACCCCTTTTAGGGCGTTTCGCTTCGTCTCCTGTTACCAGTTATTGGTTATGTCAACGAACCTTTTTAATATAAAACATTGATAAGAAGAATGACTAAATATTATTTTGTTATTTTCGATAACATAACATTTACACCACTTTACATGAAGTACAGTCACTTTTTATCTGTTAAAATATCTCCGACATGACGTATTTGATAGAATACGTCATTGTGAAGAGCATCTACATACTACTTCATCCCACAAATGACATCCTTCTCTTGTGATCAAGCGGACTGGGTGACATCTTTAGCTTATTGGACATAGGTGGTTGGGCCTCAGCTGTAAATTCAGATCCTAGGACAAGATTTGAAAATGTTATTGCCACTAGATATTCTCCAAAAAGAACATGTATGTTTGAATTAATTGTCATGTTTTCTTCAGGAGCAGGATGTGAAGACCATTCACGTAGCTGCTCAAAGTACGCCAAGAGAGGGTACTGCAGGAAAAAGGCTGATCAGATGTTGAAGAAATGTCCGAAATCCTGCAATGCTTGTGAGTATTGTTTTTCAACTGCACGCTGTCTGTCACCTTTGGGCAATGTAGGTGAACACTGATAACTTTGCCTGATTTATATGTAAATTAGCACGCTCGGCTGGCGTCATTGCATCACATGGATAAGGCTCACATACAGTTTAGGATTTTAGAATTAAAATTACAATGTATGTTTGATGATGTCTGGTGTCTGTTGTGTGTACTGGTAGGCATACGTTGCAGTATCAAAGAAGAAATATGATATATGCTTGATATACTGATATGTTGTATTCCGCTGAAAACATACACTGTAGAGATCTATTGCCTGTTTTTTTTTTATGAGTGTGGTGTACATCATGCCTCAAACACAGACACGTTATGTGCAAGATATCAATCTACACACACATGCATGCACGCACGGAACACGAGCTTCAGATTCCCTGGAACGCTTTTTTAGTTATATCATGGCGCATCAACCTTTGTGGGAACAGAGCATAAAGTAACACAGGTCACAATCCTTGAACATTTTGTTAAAATATGCCGCAGAGCACGATACTGACAAAACAGGAGGAGCAGATCCGTCCAGCAATTAACGACGCAAATAAGAACGCAAGGCGTGGTGTTCTTGACAGTAAGAACGCGTTCCCCGCATATGACTTGGCTGAAACTGGACTGTGAGCTCTTTGAAGAATATGGCCAGAACGATGTTAATGTCTTGGTTTATGGATATTCCCATGTGTTTTGATATGTTGGTAGGGACAAATAGCCATCCTAGGTAGTATCCCATCCTGGACCCTCCACATTAACGTGGAAATACTAACCTGTATATTTGATGCAACTGCCAACAAATTCCCACAGCTTGCCGTACTTTAACCGGAAATAGAGTCAGTTTCCAATCCAAACACCAATGTAGCATTCAAACCTATAAGCATACGCGAAAATCAGAGTACCCGCTCCTTCATTTCGTGTGTCCTCTTGTCAGCGGTTATTACAAATATGACGAATTTGATTTCTATTATTTGCCCACTTTTTTTATGTTACAGTTTGGCAGGTCCAGGAAAAACAAAAATCTCGCGAATCCAGTACTATCACATTATGTTAGTTTTGGTGTTTGTTTTTGTTTTTAGGTATGAATGTGACAACCCTACTACCAGCACAGGAGACGACTAAAAGCAGCACAGGTTTGATGACATAATAATTATTATAGTTACACATGTAGACATCGAACCACAAATAATGTTCTTACACGCATGATATCCCTGAATTATTTATTAACTACATGTTATATCTTATAGGAAAACACGGACATGAGATTGTATGATGTGAAACACCATCACACCCTGACTGGACAAACATTGTATCACTCCTTTAGTCGCCTCTTACGAAACGCATGGGATGCTGAAGACCTAATTCCCCTCTCACGGGTCCCTTTTCTTGTCACCAAGTTATATTGCCTCCAAACTCGAAAGGTTTGGCCTTTGCTTCAAACATTACTACTGGTACATGAACAAAACTTGAAAATGTTAGAACCGCGACACATTAACCATGTTATGATTCCATTTAGATGCAGGTTGTGTGGACCATTCACACCGATGCCCAAAGTACGCCAAGAAAGGGTTGTGCGAAAAAAAACATCATCTAGTGAAGATATGTCCGAAATCCTGCAATGCTTGTGAGTATGGTTTTGCAACTGCATGCTGCAAGACATTAAACAATTCATAAACGATCTATAAATAAATTTATGAACGATGAACATGGGCTTGATTTAACGTTGCCTTGAACAGAATCATGTCTTAACATTTGTGTGAAGAAAGCACGATGTGACACAGGTCGTAGTTATTAACTACATTGCTGAAACCTCCCTAAGAACATGGTGCTGACAACCCAAGAGCAGCAGAGCCTTGGCCAACAGTCATGGACGCAAGTAAGGATGCAAGGTGTGTGAGCAAGTGAGTTTGGTTTAACGCCGCCGTGAACAGCATTCCAGTTATATCACGACCTGTGACAATCATGTTTCTTGTCCTGTTATATCACGATCATATATGTTTGTGTCGTGCCACAGGGATGCAACTGCACAGCGAATTGTTGCTCCTTAGAGGACTGGGCCACCTGTGCCCAGTTGGTCATCGTGACGCATGTCCCACATATATTATTTGAGTGAAGCTGGACTTGTCATTTGAATTATGAAGCCAAAATATCTTTTTTCATATCATGGTTTACGGATTCTTTCTTACATTGGGACATAAGAAAAAAATGTCATCTTGTCTAGTATCCCATTCTTCACCCTCAACGAAATAGCAATCTGTATGTACAACTGCTGCCATTGCCACTGAGCACCGAGGGTAACTTCCAATCCCATTTTTTGGCGTTTTGGATGGTTTGGTGATTATTTAAAAAAATGAACGTGTTCTTCATGTCCACCACCCCCCACAATCCCCCCCCCCCCCCCCCCCCCCCAACCCACCCCGACCCCCACATACACACACACACTTCCCCACAACCTTATTTTTAATATTTTAGTTTAGCGGATCCGTAAACCAAGAAACCAAAACTGTTTTCGCCTTCTCAGTAGTCCTATTTTGTTAGTAGCTAGTGTCTGTTTTCGTCCAAAGGTATGGATGTGACAACCCAGCTTCCAGCACAGGAAGCGACCAACAGCAGCACAGGTTTGGGTTTTATTAACTTGGTTATTTCTAACACTTTGGGTAATAATGACGTTATAACATACACTAAGCCATTTGCATGCATGCGACATTCGGTACAGGTGCTAGTACCTTTTCAAATATGTGTAACCACGGATTCTTTTCCCTGAAGCCAATCCAATGTTTTTTATGATAGAATGATTAATCTATTGGTCCTTTTGCCAAATGATACCACTTTGACGTCATTTCAAACGAAAAGATGAAGAACATCATCAGACACCATTAAGGATTCGCAATGTGTTAGACTGAATGGTCAACCGACAGGTAAAAGTAGTGTTGTTCATTATGCAAAAGGGTGAATTATCAATTTAATGTAACGGGGAAAAAATAACTGTTCTTCAACAAAGGAACCGAAGCTTAGTAAATAAATGTTTTCTTAAATTAGATAATGCATCTTTCAATAAATACTTATATATCTCCTCGACTTCAAGGTCGTGATCCACAATTTGCATAGGCAAATTCATGCACGGCACTCAATTTGGATGATTGTTTAGCTGTAAGATGCACCTGATGAAAAAACCTAACCGTAAATAACACTCATGCAATGCCACGCCTACCTAAAATCAACGTCTACTCGCTGTGGGTATAATGCAAACAGGAATGGCGCAAAACGAAGTAGCCTGCATGTAAGGTTGATTGAAACACAATATCATCTCATTATCTTAAGCAGAACAAAACTCAGGACTTGCCATGAGCCGGTCATCCACGTGTGACGTCACGTCAACACGACAACCATAAGTCGGTTGGTGCAGCTATGGATTCGACTCGAGACTGCTTCATCATTAACTTGGTCAATTCCTGTTTTGAGAACACATAAAGGCAGAACCAAACGCAACCGGTTGAGGGAGAACAACATATCCGTTCCTAATGTCCAGCCATACGCCCAATGTATCTTCCACGTCAGCAGCAGGCACGTCAAACTTGGTGCAGACAGCATCCGCGGTTTAGAAGGCAGGTCTGAGACAGTATGCTGTTCACAGATAAGTCAAGGTTATATGAGGTTTTATGTGGACAGCTCTGATGGCCGTGCAAGGGCCTACATGGCGACGCTTGCGATACTTAACGTCTTCATTTTTGGGGCGGAAGTGTAACATATGGAGTGGAATCACAACTCATCGTTGCTAATGACAATATAAATGACGTACGCTACAGCGACGACAATGTCGTTATAATTGGAGATCATGTTATGCCCTTGTGTAAAGCAGGTACGTAACGTTGCATCAGAATAATGTCCGTCCAACTATTGTAGGTGTTGTAGCAGACTTTCTGAGGCTGCACATCATTGATGTACTGCCATAGTCGGCTGTTTCGCCAGACCTCTCCCCAATAGAACATGTCTGGGATGAGATTGAAAGACACCTACGGAAAAGGACCAGAGCCAGCCGAAAATGCTAGCTTTGTTGGGCGTATCCTGGTTGGCATTTGGAACAACATCACCGAGGCTATTTTCAATCATCTGGTGTCCTCAGTGCGCCGCTGCTGCCTTGTTGTATCAACGAAAATAGTGGTCAAACCCGATTTTGACTTTCTTAATTGAGTTGTTACACCAACCCCTTTTAGGGCGTTATGCTCTGTCTCCTGTTACCAGGTATTGGTTTTGTCAATGAACGTTTTATGATAAAACATTGATTGAATAATGACCAAATATAATATTGCTATTTTCAATAACATCACATTTACACCACTTTATATAAAGCAAAGTTACATTTTTCCGTTCGTAGATTTCCGACATGATATGTTCGGTATAATATATATAGAGGTAAGAAATAAGTATACGTCAGTGTTGGGGGATAAGAAACGTAATTTTAATCTTAGTTCTTGTAATGCTTTGTTAGATAATATACACAACAGTAAAGCGTTTTGGTCTGTTTTGAAAAGGCTTTCACACAGTTTATCACTTCGGCCAAATATATCCGTAGCACAATGGTATAATCATTTTGTGATATGTTTGACACGGATGATCTAGACGATGATGAAGATATAGTTAAGACGAAATTGATGAAGGTTTTGATATCATGACTCAGTTTTCCCTCTATTTTCCGATAAGTGAAGATGAAGTTGAATAATCAGTAAAGAGTTTGAAATGTAACACATCTGCAATTTATCCTCTATTTGTCGATTTTTTAAAAAGCTTTTGATTTGGTTAATAGGTCGAAACTATGGAGGATTTTTAAAAGGAGTGTTTGTCTCCAAAAATGTTAAATGGAGTACAAGCTATATATAATCGAGTACGTTCATGTGTTAAGTTTAATAATATGTATTCGTATATGTTTGATTGTGATTTTGGTGTACAACAGGGTTGTGTCCTTCGTCCTTATCTGTTCTCTATGTTTGTCATTGAACTAGCACAGTGCGCCGCTGCTGCCTAGTCTGTATCAACGCAAATGGTGGTCAAACCCGTACTTGACTTTCTTAATTGAGTTGTTACACCAACCCCTTTTAGGGCGTTTCGCTTCGTCTCCTGTTACCAGTTATTGGTTTTGTCAACGAACCTTTTTAGTATAAAACATTGATAAGAAGAATGACTAAATATTATTTTGTTATTTTCGAAAACATAACATTTACACCACTCTAAATGAAGCACAGTCACTTTTTATCTGTTAAAATATCTCCGACATGACGTATTTGATAGAATACGTCCTTGTGAAGGACATCTACATACTACTTCATCCCACAAATTACATCCTTCTTTTTGTGATCAGGCTGACGGGGTGACATCTTTAGCTCATGGAACATAGATGGTTGGGCCTCAGCTGTAAATTCTGATCCTAGGGCAAGATTTGAAAATGTTACTGCCACCAGATATTCTCCAAAAAGAACATGTATGTTTGAATTTATTGTCATGTTTTCTTCAGGAGCAGGATGTGAAGACCATTCACGTAGCTGCTCAAAGTACGCCAAGAGAGGGTACTGCAAGGAAAAGGCTGATCAGATGTTGAAGAAATGTCCGAAATCCTGCAATGCTTGTGAGTATTTTTTTCAACTGCACGCTGTCTGTCACCTTTGGGCAATGTAGTTAACCTTGCCTGGCCTATATGTAAATCAGCACACTCGGCTGGCGTCATTGCATCACGTGGATAAGGCTCACATACGGTGTAGGATTTTAGAATTAAAATTGCAATGTATGTTTGATGATGTCTGGTGTCTGTTGTGTGTACTTGTAGGCATACGTTGCAGTATCACAGAAGCTAAATGTGATATATGCTTGACATACTGATATGTTGTAGTCCGCTGAAGACATACACTGTAGAGATCTATTGCTTGGTGTTATATTAGTGTGATATACAGCATGCTTAAAACACAGACACGTTATGTGCAAGATATCAATCTACACACACATGCATGCACGCACGGAACACGAGCTTCAGATTCCATGGAACGCTTTTTTAGTTATATCATGGCGCATCGACCTTTGTGGGAACAGAGCATAAAATAACACAGGTCACAATCACTTTGTTAAAATATGCCGCAGAGCACGATACTGACAAAACAGGAGCAGCAGATCCGTCCAGCAATTAACGACGCAAATAAGAACGCAAGGCGTGGTGTTCTTGACAGTAAGAACGCGTTCCCCGCATATGACTTGGCTGAAACTGGACTGTGAGCTTTTTGAAGAATATGGCCAGAACGATGTTAATGTCTTGGTTTATAGATATTCTCATGGGTTTTGATATGTTGGTAGGGACAAATAGCCATCCTAGCTAGTATCCCATCCTGGACCCTCAACATTAACGTGGAAATACTAACCTGTATATTTGATGCAACTGCCAACAAATTCAAACAGCTTGCCGTACCTTAACCGGAAATAGAGTCAGTTTCCAATCTAAACACCGATGTAGCATTGAAACCTATAAGTATACGCGAAAATCAGAGTACCCGCTCCTTCATTTCGTGTGTCCTCTTGTCAGCGGTTATTACAAATATGACGAATTTGATTGCTCGTATTTGCCCACTTTTTTATGTTACAGTTTGGCAGGTCCAGGAAAAATCTCGCGAATCCAGTACTATCACATTATGTTAGTTTTGGTGTTTGTCTTTGTTCATAGGTATGAATGTGACAACCCTGCTACCAGCACAGGAGACGACTAAAAGCAGCACAGGTTTGATGACATAATAATTATTATAGTTACACATGTAGACATCGAACAGCAAATAATGTTCTTCCACGCATGATATCCCTGAATTATTTATTAACTACATGTGATATCTTATAGTTAAACACGGACATGAGATTGTATCATGTGAAACACCATCGCACCCTGACTGGACAAACATTGTATCACTCCTTTAGTCGCCTCTTACGAAACACATGGGATGCTGTAGACCCAATTCCCCTCTCACGGGTCCCTTTTCTTGTCACCAAGTTATATTGTGTCCAAACTCGAATGGTTTGGCCTTTGCTTCAAACATTACTACTGGTACATGAACAAAACTTGAAAATGTTAGAACCGCGACACATTTACCATGTTATAATTCCATTTAGATGCAGGTTGTGTGGACCATTCACACCGATGCCCAAGATTTGCCAAGAATGGGCTCTGCGAAAAAAGTGATCATGTGGTGAAGAAATGTCCGAAATCCTGCAATGCTTGTGAGTATGGTTTTGCAACTGCATGCTGCAAGACATTAAACAATTCATACACGATCTATAAATAAATTTATGAACGATGAACATCGGCTTGATTTAACGTTGCCTTAACATTTGTGTGAAGAAAGCACGATGTGACACAGGTCGTAGTTATTAACTACATTGCTGAAACTTCCCTAAGAACATGGTGCTGACAACCCAAGAGCAGCAGAGCCTTGGCCAACAGTCATGGACGCAAGTAAGGATGCAAGGTGTGTGAGCAAGTGAGTTTGGTTTAACGCCGCCGTGAACAGCATTCCAGTTATATCACGACCTGTGACGATCATGTTTCTTGTTCTGTTATATCACGATCATATATGTTTGTGTCGTGCCACAGGGATGCAACTGCACAGCGAATTGTTGCTCCTTAGAGGACTGGGCCACCTGTGCCCAGTTGGTCATCGTGACGCATGTCCCACATATATTATTTGAGTGGAGCTGGACTTGTCATTTGAATTATGAAGCCAAAATATCTTTTTTCATATCATGGTTTACGGATTTTTTCTTACACTGGGACATGAGAAAAAATGTCATCTTGTCTAGTATCCCATTCTTCACCCTCAACGAAATAGCAATCTGTATGTACAACTGCTGCCATTGCCACTGAGCACCGAGGGTAACTTCCAATCCCATTTTTTGGCGTTTTGGATGGTTTGGTGATTATTTAAAAAAATGAACGTGTTCTTCATGTCCACCATCCCCCACATCCCCCCCACCCCGAACCCCACATACACACACACACACTTCCCCACAACCTCATTTTAATATTTTAGTTTAGCGGATCCGTAAACCAAGAAACCAAAACTATTTTCGCCTTCTCAGTAGTCCTATTTTGTTAGTAGCTAGTGTCTGTTTTTGTCCGAAGGTATGGATGTGACAACCCAGCTTCCAGCACAGGAAACGACCAACAGCAGCACAGGTTTGGGTTTTATTAACTTGGTTATTTCTAACACTTTGGGTAATAATGACGTTATAACATACACTAAGCCATTTGCATGCATGCGACATTCGGTACAGGTGCTAGTACCTTTTCAAATATGTGTAACCACGGATTCTTTTCCCTGAAGCCAATCCAATGTTTGTTTATGATAGAATGATTAATCTATTGGTCCTTTTGCCAAATGATACCACTTTGACGTCATTTCAAACGAAAAGCTGAAAAACATCATCAGACACCATTAAGGGTTCGCAATGTGTTAGACTGAATGGTCAACCGACAGGTAAAAGTAGCGTTGTTCATTATGCAAAAAGGTGAATTTTCACTTTAATGTAACGGGGAAAAAGTAACTGTTCTTCAAACAAAGAAACGAAGCTTAGTAAATAAATGATTTCTTAAATTAGATAATGCATCTTTCAATAAATACTTATATATCTCCTCGACTTCAAGGTCGTGATCCAAACGTGCGTCCAAACTGAATGGTTTGGCCTTTTCTTCAAACATTAATACTGGTAAATGAACAAAACTTGAAAATGTAAGAACCGCGACACATTAACCATGTTATAATTCCATTTAGATGCAGGTTGTGTGGACCATATACACCGATGCCCAAAGTACGCCAAGAAAGGGCTCTGCAAAAGAAATGATCATGTGGTGAAGAAATGTCTGAAATCCTGCAATGCTTGTGAGTATGGTTTTGCAACTGCATGCTGCAAGACATTAAACAATTCATACACGATCTATAAATAAATTTATGAACGATGAACATGGGCTTGATTTAACGTTGCCTTGAACGGAATCACGTCTTAACATTTGTGTGAAGAAAGCACGATGTGACACAGGTCGTAGTTATTAACTACATTGCTGAAACTTCCGTAAGAACATGGGGCTGACAACCCAAGAGCAGCAGAGCCTTGGCCAACAGTCATGGACGCAAGTAAGGATGCAAGGTGTGTGAGCAAGTGAGTTTGGTTTAACGCCGCCGTGAACAGCATTCCAGTTATATCATGACCTGTGACGATCATGTTTCTTGCTCTGTTATATCACGATCATATATGTTTGTGTCGTGCCACAGGGATGCAACTGCACAGCGAATTGTTGCTCCTTAGAGGACTGGGCCACCTGTGCCCAGTTGGTCATCGTGACGCATGTCCCACATATATTATTTGAGTGAAGCTGGACTTGTCAGTTGAAGTATGAAGCCAAAATATCTTTTTTCATATCATGGTTTACGGATTTTTTCTTACATTGGGACATGAGAAAAAATGTCATCTTGTCTAGTATCCCATTCTTCACCCTCAACGAAATAGCAATCTGTATGTGCAACTGCTGCCATTGCCACTGAGCACCGAGGGTAACTTCCAATCCCATTTTTTGGCGTTTTGGATGGTTTGGTGATTATTTAAAAAATGAACGTGTTCTTCATGTCCACCATCCCCCACATCCCCCCCACCCCGAACCCCACATACACACACACACACTTCCCCACAACCTCATTTTAATATTTTAGTTTAGCGGATCCGTAAACCAAGAAACCAAAACTATTTTCGCCTTCTCAGTAGTCCTATTTTGTTAGTAGCTAGTGTCTGTTTTTGTCCGAAGGTATGGATGTGACAACCCAGCTTCCAGCACAGGAAACGACCAACAGCAGCACAGGTTTGGGTTTTATTAACTTGGTTATTTCTAACACTTTGGGTAATAATGACGTTATAACATACACTAAGCCATTTGCATGCATGCGACATTCGGTACAGGTGCTAGTACCTTTTCAAATATGTGTAACCACGGATTCTTTTCCCTGAAGCCAATCCAATGTTTGTTTATGATAGAATGATTAATCTATTGGTCCTTTTGCCAAATGATACCACTTTGACGTCATTTCAAACGAAAAGCTGAAAAACATCATCAGACACCATTAAGGGTTCGCAATGTGTTAGACTGAATGGTCAACCGACAGGTAAAAGTAGCGTTGTTCATTATGCAAAAAGGTGAATTTTCACTTTAATGTAACGGGGAAAAAGTAACTGTTCTTCAAACAAAGAAACGAAGCTTAGTAAATAAATGATTTCTTAAATTAGATAATGCATCTTTCAATAAATACTTATATATCTCCTCGACTTCAAGGTCGTGATCCAAACGTGCGTCCAAACTCGAATGGTTTGGCCTTTTCTTCAAACATTAATACTGGTACATGAACAAAACTTGAAAATGTAAGAACCGCGACACATTAACCATGTTATAATTCCATTTAGATGCAGGTTGTGTGGACCATATACACCGATGCCCAAAGTACGCCAAGAAAGGGCTGTGCGAAAGAAATGATCATGTGGTGAAGAAATGTCCGAAATCCTGCAATGCTTGTGAGTATGGTTTTGCAACTGCATGCTGCAAGACATGAAACAATTCATACACGATCTATAAATAAATTTATGAACGATGAACATGGGCTTGATTTAACGTTGCCTTGTAAGGAATGATGTCTTAACACGTGTGTGAAGAAAGCACGATGTGACACAGGTCGTAGTTATTAACTACATTGCTGAAACTTCCGTAAGAACATGGGGCTGACAACCCAAGAGCAGCAGAGCCTTGGCCAACAGTCATGGACGCAAGTAAGGATGCAAGGTGTGTGAGCAAGTGAGTTTGGTTTAACGCCGCCGTGAACAGCATTCCAGTTATATCATGACCTGTGACGATCATGTTTCTTGTTCTGTTATATCACGATCATATATGTTTGTGTCGTGCCACAGGGATGCAACTGCACAGTGAATTGTAGCGCCTTAGAGGACTAGGCCACCTGTGCCCACTTGGTCATCGTGACGCATGTCCCACATATATTATTTGAGTGAAGCTGGAATGGGTCATTTGAAGTATTCTTTCATATCTTGGATTATAGATTTTTTTTACATTTGGACATGGGAAAAATGTCATCCTGTCTAGTATCCAATTCTTCACTCTCAACGAAATAGTAAACTGTATTTGCTGCAAATGCTGCCATTTTCACTGAGCACCGAGCGTGGAGTTATTTCCATTCCCCATTATCGCGTTTATGATTGGTGATTGTTAAAAAAAGATGAACATGGTTTTCATGTCCAACCAACCCAGGCACCCATCCCCACTCACACTCCCCCACAACCTCATTTTTAATATTTTACTTTAGCGGATCCTTAAATCTAGAAATCAAAACTATCTTCGCCTTCGCAGTACTGTCCCATTATGTTAGTAGCTAGTGTCTGTTTTTGTCCATAGGTATGAATGTGACAACCCAGCTTCCAGCACAGGAAACGACCACCAGCAGCACAGGTTTGGTGACATGATAATTATTATTGTAATTATCGTCTTCATTTTGGTGTGGAAGTGTAACATATGGAGTGGAATCACAACTCATCGTTGCTAATGACAATATAGATGACGTACGCTACCGCGACGACAACGTCGTTATAATTAGGGATCATGTTCTACCCTTTGTGTTAAGCAGGTACGTAACGTTTCATCAGGACAATGTCCGCCCACATATTGCAGGTGTTGTAGCAGACTTTCTGAGGCTGCACACCATTGATGTTCTGCCATAGTCGGCTGTTTCGCCAGCCCCCTTCCCCATAGAACATGTCTGGGATGAGATATCCAAAACTTGAAATTATAAATTCTTTGAAGGTACTTTTGGAACGGAATAACGCCTTAAACGTGTAACAATTGTAAAAGTCCGCGTGGCCTTGACACAATGTCGTTGCAGTTCCCAGGATCTCAAAATAGAAACTTGCAGGTATTTCAATATCCCCAGAGATAAAATGTTGTGGACTCTTTGTAATGAATGTGACGTCGAAGATCAGTAGCATTTTTTGATGGTTTGTATCCGGTATAAAACACTGCATGAGAAGTACAAACCTACTAAATTCATGTCATACCCAACACGTAACAAACACAGTATCCTTTTGGCATCAACGGAAACAAATGAAATTCGACACCTGACTATGTATATTTATCATGCAAATTGCTTCAGAACGATCTATGTTGACTGATAATCAATTTTGTTACATATATCATATGCTGACTGACCACCTGTATGAACATGAGATTGAAAGACACCTACGAAAGAATCTGAACCAACTGGTATCGCTAGCTCAGTTGGGGTAATTTTGGAATCCATTTGGAACATCACCAAGGCTATTTTCAATCATCTGGTGTCCTCAGTGCACCGCTGCTCTCTTGCCTGTATCAACGCAAATGGTGGTCAAACCCGATCTTGACTTTCTTAATTGAGTTGTTACACCAACCCCTTTTAGGGCGTTTCGCTCTGTCTCCTGTTACCAGTGATTGGTTTTGTCAACGAACCTTTTTAGTATAAAACATTGATAAGAAGAATGACTAAATATTATTTTGTTATTTTCGATAACATAACATTTACACCACTTTACATGAAGTACAGTCACTTTTTATCTGTTAAAATATCTCCGACATGACGTATTTGATAGAATACGTCCTTGTGAAGAGCATCTACATACTACTTCATCCCACATATGACATCCTTCTTTTTGTGATCAGGCTGACGGGGTGACATCTTTAGCTTATGGGACATAGATGGTTGGGCCTCAGCTGTAAATTCAGATCCTAGGCCAAGATTTGAAAATGTTATTGCCACTAGATATTCTCCTAAAAGTACATGTAAGTTTGAATTAATTGTCATGTTTTCTTCAGGAGCAGGATGCGAAGACCGTTCGAGTATCTGCTCAATATACGCCAAGAGAGGGTACTGCAATGATAAGGGTGATAAGTTGTTGAAGCTATGTCCGAAATCCTGCAATGCTTGTGAGTATGGTTTTTCAACTGCACTGCACCTTTGAACACGTGATAACTTTACCTGATCTATATGTAAATTAGAATGCCCGTCTTGGGTCATTGCATAAAGTGGATGAGGCTAACATATAAACGCGCGCACACACACAGTGAACAAAGGTTCAAGGTTGCCTTCAACGTTATTTTAGTTATATAATGACACGTTGACCTTTGTGGGAACAAAGCATAAAGTGACTAAGGTCATAATCCTTAAACACATTTTTAGATTATGCTAAAGAGCATGATACTGACAAAGCAAATCCTGACACATCAGTTAAGGACGCAGTTAAGAACAGTTGCGTCCTTGACCCAGATATGACATGAGTGAAGCCAGAATGAGGGTTATTTGATCCGTAAAGCCAAAAATATGTCAATGTCTTTGTTTATGGATATTATCATAGTTTTTGATATGTTAGTACTTTTGGATCCCATCCTAGACCCTCAATATGAACCTGGATATAGTAATCTGTATTACCGGAAATAGAGTTAGTTTCAATTACCAACACAGTGTGAAACCTATCAGCTTACGCGACAATCAGAGTATTTTTACTTTCATTTTATGTGTTCTCCTGTCAAAGTCTATTAAAAAAATGACGAATTCGATTTATATTTTGACCACTTTTATGTTTGACACGTGTCAAATCTGTAAACCAAGAAACAAAAGAAAATGTCGCCAATGTTTCCAATCCAAACACCGATGTAGCATTGAAACCTATAAGCATACGCGATAATCAGAGTACCTGCTCCTTCATTTCGTGTGTCCTCTTGTCAGCGGTTATTACAAGTATGACGAATTTGATTTCTATTATTTGCCCACTTTTTTATGTTACAGTTTGGCAGGTCCAGGAATTAAAAAAATTCTCGCGAATCCAGTACTATCACATTATGTTAGTTTTGGTGTTTGTCTTTGTTCATAGGCATAAATGTGACAACCAAGGTTCCAGCACAGGAGACGACCAAAAGCAGCACAGGTTTGGTGTAATAATAATTAACATTGTAATACCTGCGGAAATCGAACAGCAAAAAATGTCATAACACGTATTATGATCTTAAATCATTAATTACTTCATGAGATATCGTATAGGTAAACACGGGCATGATATTGTATCATGTGAAACACCATCACACACTGACATGTCATTGTGTCACTCCACACAAGAGGTATACCGTAAGAATCCCTTTATATATTTAGGTATCCAACAACATTTTCTGTTATTACATACAGTATTCGGGAATTGCATCGGTCACACTTTTTGTGTCTGATGCGTCAAATTTGGTAATGTCCTCCACGTGTGTATTATAAAACGTTTCGAAAGCTTCATTGAGGCTTTGAATGCTTGATTGTACCTCTAAAGTGAAATTTGGACCCCAAGGGGTGGAGATGCAGGGCCTGATGCAAAGACTGGTCGGCTCGGAGTCAGTTTACTGTGACTGAGTGAGGTATTTATGTTAAACTGCGGCCCGGTATCTCAGTGGGCTAGCACTATAAATCCATCAGTCCAGACTAGTACAAGCAGCCACACACACACAAACACGTGCATGCACGTCGCTGTATAAGTGCAATAATCTTGGACGCAACATTAACCCCATTTCACCACCTCAACTCATTCTCTTATGGTGATCGACACGTGGTGGAGGTTTGAATCCAAAGTCTGTGAGGTCTTCTGTGATTTCGTCAAATCAAATATAATACAATATCTTGATCACACTAAATGTCAAAATATTCATTCGGTTATCCTGATAGGATTCACAGCACGATCCACTATATATTGTTTGTTCTCCCAGCTAAAGATATGCGACGTGGCACATGTGAGGCCTCCCATTGAGACATCCCAATCTGACGCTCCAATAACCGAAATGATGTCCAAATTCCCTATTTTGACTTGACCATATGCTCCCCTGTTTGTTCAGGTGAATACTTGGCATGTCTTTGCGTGTGTTTGTGATGGGCGCTAACGGTTGGGCAGTGTAAGGTCACCTGCTATCTTGAATAATTGATAGTGGTTCACAACACATGCTTATGATTTGCTCTCAGAAGATATTTCTCTTGATTATGGAAAGTGTTTTGTCCCTAAAACTTATGGAACGTTATCTGTGAGTTCGATAAAGTCCCATTTGATGTCTGATCTGCATGTATAGGAGATATAGCCTCGACTGAGGTCGTTTATATTTTACAGTTTTAGTGTCTCTTCCCCTAGCTAAAGATAGACGACATCGCACAAAAGATGCCTTCCTGTCTATTGATCCTCCTTCCGATTCTGATACCGAGCAGACACGGCAAAGATTAAGTAAGTTTGGCTCATTCAGGTCTCGGATGCAATACATGGTGACGAAAGATTGTTACGAAATAGTTCAGTGAAATGTATTTCAAATGTTTTCTTGTTGGCAAAGTGTGGTACTTAACCAAATGTTCCAACTGAGAACTCATAATATCGAGTTTCGGAATGAGAAAGTGTTTCGCAATGAAAATACATTATATGACAATTATCCTGAAAACACAAAACAGTCTTGCTCTTAGAGAAAGTGTGCTTTTGGTATTTTCATGACGTTATATAAATTGACAGTTTAAAAAAATTGTTTGCTCTCCCATCTAAAGATATACGACATCGCACACCTAAGGCCTCAATCGCCATTGATCCTGTTCCCAAACGCCCACAGCCAAGAAAGAGTAAGTTTAGTCAAACCTGACACCAGGCCAGCAGTGCGTGCCACAATATTAAGTACGTTTGGCTCATTCAGGTCTCGGATGTCACACATGGTGACGAAAGATTGTTACGAAATAGTTCAGTGAAATGTTTTTCAAATGTTTTGTTGTTGACAAAGTATGGTATTTAAAACAGTCTTGCTCTTAGAGAAAGTGTGCTTTTTGTATTTTCATGACGTTATATAAATTGACAGTTTAAAAAAATTGTTTGTTCTCCCATCTAAAGATATACGACATCGCACACCTAAGGCCTCAATCGCCATTGGTCCTGTTCCCAAACGCCCACAGCCAAGAAAGAGTAAGTTTAGTCAAACCTGACACCAGGCCAGCAGTGCGTGCCACAATATTAAGTACGTTTGGCTCATTCAGGTCACGGATGTCACACATGGAGACGAAAGATTGTTACGAAATAGTTCAGTGAAATGTTTTTCAAATGTTTTGTTGTTGACGAAGTATGTTATTTAAAACAGTCTTGCTCTCAGAGAAAGTGTGCTTTTGTTTTTTTCATGACGTTATATAAATTGACAGTTTAAAAAATTGTTTGTTCTCCCATCTAAAGATATACGACATCGCACACCTAAGGCCTCAATCGCCATTGATCCTGTTCCCAAACGCCAACAGCCAAGAAAGAGTAAGTTTAGTCAAACCTGACACCAGGCCAGCAGTGCGTGCCACAATATTAAGTACGTTTGGCTCATTCAGGTCACGGATGTCACACATGGAGACGAAAGATTGTTACGAAATAGTTCAGTGAAATGTTTTTCAAATGTTTTGTTGTTGACGAAGTATGTTATTTAAAACAGTCTTGCTCTCAGAGAAAGTGTGCTTTTGTTTTTTTCATGACGTTATATAAATTGACAGTTTAAAAAATTGTTTGTTCTCCCATCTAAAGATATACGACATCGCACACCTAAGGCCTCAATCGCCATTGATCCTGTTCCCAAACGCCAACAGCCAAGAAAGAGTAAGTTTAGTCAAACCTGACACCAGGCCAGCAGTGCGTGTCAAAATTAAGTACGTTTGGCTCATTCAGGTCACGGATGTCACACATGGTGACAAAAGATTGTTACGAAATAGTTCAGTGAAATGTTTTTCCAAATGTTTTGTTGTTGACAAAGTATGGTATTTAACCCAATGTTCCAACTGAAACTCATAATCTCGAGTTCGGAATGAAAAATTGTTTCACAATAAAAAATGTATTATATGACCATTATCCCAAAAAGACAAAACAGTCTTGCTCTTAGAAAATATGTGCTTTTGGTATTTTCATGACGTTATATAATTTGACTGTTTTATATATTGTTTGTCCTCCCATCTAAAGATATACGACATCGCACGCGTGAAGCCTCAATAGCCATTGATCCTGTTCCCAAACACCCACAGCCAAGAAAGAGTAAGTTTAGTCAAACCTGACACCAGGCCAGCAGTGCGTGCCACAATATTCCAGCAGCTCGAGCTTTGGTGTCTATATTTCACACATGTTAAGCTGAAATTAAGCATGCTCTTTCTACGAAGATCACAGTGCCATACGTTTCTTTCTTTAAAGTAGCTACATTATTGCAACAGCATTCAATGCCTAAGTAAATCACTCTCATGGCAGACTTGTGAAAGAGATGTCCCAATTTGACACCCAAATAACCGAAATGATGTCCAAAATTCCCTATTTTGACTTGTCCATATGCTCCCCTGTTTGATCAGGTGAATACTTGACATGTCTTTGCGTGTGTTTGTGATGGACGCCAACGGTTGGACAGTGTATGCTCACTTGCTCCTTTGAATAATTGACAGTGGTTCACAACACATGCTTATGATTTGCTCTTAGAAGATATTTTTCATGATTATGGATAGGTTTTGTGCTTTAAAGTTATGGGACGTTATCTGTGAGTTCGATAAAGTCCCATTTGATGTCTGATCTGCGTGTAAAGGAGACATAGCATGGACTAAGGTCGTTTATATCTTACTGTTGTATATTGTGTCTCTTCCCCTAGCTAAAGATAGACGGCATCGCACAAAAGATGCCTTCCGGTCTATTGATCCTCCTTCCGATTCTGATACCGAGCAGACACGGCAAAGATTAAGTAAGTTTGGCTCATTCAGGTCTCGGATGCAATACATGGTGACGAAAGATTGTTACGAAATAGTTCAGTGAAATGTATTTCAAATTTTTCTTGTTGGCAAAGTATGGTATTTAACCCAATGTTTCAACTGAAACTCATAATCTCGAGTTTCGGAATGAAAAATTGTTTCACCTTAAAAAATATATTATATGACCATTATCCCAAAAAGACAAAACAGTCTTGCTCTTAGAGAATATGTGCTTTTGGTATTTTCATGACGTTATATAATTTGACTGTTTTATATATTGTTTGTTCTCCCATCTAAAGATATACGACATCGCACGCGTGAAGCCTCAATATCCATTGATCCTGTTCCTAAACACCCACAGCCAAGAAAGAGTAAGTTTAGTCAAACCTGACACCAGGCCAGCAGTGCGTGCTACAATATTTCAGCAGCTCGAGCTTTGGTGTCTATATTTCACACATGTTAAGCTGAAATTAAGCATGCTCTTTCTAAGAAGATCACAGTGTCATACGTTTCTTTCTTTAAAGTAGCTACATTATTGCAACAGCATTCAATGCCTAAGTAAATCACTCTCATGGCAGACTTGTGAAAGAGATGTCACAATTTGACACCCAAATAACCGAAATGATGTCCAAAATTCCCTATTTTGACTTGTCCATATGCTCCCCTGTTTGTTCAGGTGAATACTTCACATGTCTTTGCGTGTGTTTGTGATGGACGCCAACGGTTGGACAGTGTATGCTCACTTGCTCTCTTGACTAATTGACAGTGGTTCACAACACATGCTTAGGATTTGCTCTTAGAAGATATTTTTCATGATTATGGATAGGTTTTGTGCTTTAAAGTTATGGGACGTTATCTGTGAGTTCGATCAAGTCCCATTTGATGTCTGATCTACGTGTATAGGAGACATAGCATGGACTAAGGTCGTTTATATTTTACTTTTGTATATTTTGTCTCTTCGCCTCGTTAAAGATAGACGACATCGCACAAACGAAGCCTTCCTGTCTGTTGATCCTCCTTCCGCTTCTGATACCGAGCACCAACAGCCAAGATTCAGTAAGTTTGGCGCATCCAGGTCACGTGTGAGCAGCTGGTGCCACACATTGTGATGACAGAATATTAGGAAATTGTTCAGTGAAAAGTATTTCAAACGATGACAATGTGTTGTATTTAACCAAATGTTTACAAACTCTAGTTTCGAAATGAAAAAGTGTTTCGCAAAATACATTTATGTGACTATTATCCTGAAAAGACAAAAAAAAGTCATGTTTTGTGGGTTTCCGATATTTTCCTGACGTTTTATATATTGACTGTATAATATACTGGGTGAAAAAAATACCAGTGCACCATAAAATATCACATTAAAATATAATGGCCATGGATGTTGCAGAATCACGCATGATTAACCATAATGACCCCGAAATTGCATGTGCATCCCAGACAATGCCCGCATAAACACCCACGAGTCAATTTAAACAATTAAATAATTGAAGTGTTTTAATTGTGAAAAGCAACTTTTTTGACTGCCAAACCCCGTAAAAGTTACATCACGCACCTCTTAAAATGAGCGGGTGCGTGAAATTGGAATGCTAAAAACCGGAATTGCACAAACCACTGATAGACGTAACACCATATGAAACAAAACAAAGTCACTCTGGGGCCGGTACCAACAAACTGGAAACGTCAGTGTCTGAGTATCTACGTCCACGAGTAACGTCACGTCGGCAAGATAATCATATCCGTCTGTTTCACCTGCAAAATCGGTTTCAGACGACAACTTTGACAGATTACGCCTGCTTAGTAGAAGGGCTGTGAGGTTAATTACGCTGCCACATAATCGAATACATGCCTGGCATGGTCAAAACAAAATCCGAGGTTCAGAGATGAGTCCAGGTTTAATCTTGACAGTAGTCAGGGACGCCTGTGTGTTTATCGACGTCTGGTGAAACGTTACGTGTTAACGTGTGGGCTTCAACATTCTGCATTTGGTTTGGGGGCGTTGGTGTTGGGAGGCATCAGTGCACTTCACAGGACTCCTTTTGTCATCATTGATGGCAATTTCACAGGTGTGCGGTACCGTGAGGAAGTTATCCGTCCTCAAGTCCTCCCGCATCTTCAGACCCACGGATGTAAAATAACTTTACAGCAGGACAATACACACACCCACGTTGCACGCGTGGTCACATGTTTCATTTGGACAACAGAACATGCCCACACTCCCTTGACCTGCTGTTTCGTCTGATCGAGCATGTGTAAAATAACTTCCAAACCATGCGGTAACGTTGATCCAGCTGCGACAGGTCTTGGTCCAGGTCTGGTCCAGAGCCTAACTCAATCAACTTGTGTCACTGCTAATGATGGTCATACCCTATACTGACATGTGAACCGACAATTGACCCCACGCCACTTTCTGTCTAAGATGACGTTTACAGAAAACTTGTGTTGACACGGTCTTGAAGAGTGAGTGAGTATGGTTTTACGCCGGGTTTAACAATATTCCAGCAACATCAGGCGGGCTGTCACAATGAATTCAGGTTTCATGGTCATCAAAATATTGTTCTGTTATGAAATCGTTTTTTTGTTTTCGTTTATTTATTATTTCCCATAATAGTCATGATGCACAGGAGGCCTTTACGCTTGTATAAATTGTTTGTTCCCTAGCTAAACCACACTACACAAGAAAGGCTGCTGATCAAGTTCCCAAACGCCCTCAGAGACGAAACGGTAAGTTTAGTACAACCTGATCCCCGGCCAGCAGCACGTGTCACACATTCTGATAACAATTTTTGATGAATTAGTTCATTGACCAGTATTTGAATTAATTCATGATAACCAAATGTCGCTATATTACACTAAATGTTCCAAATGAGTGAGTGAGTGAGTGAGTGTGTGGGGGTTTACGCCGCTTTTAGCAATATTCCAGCAATATCACGGCGGGGGACACCAGAAATGGGCTTCACACATTGTACCCATGTCGGGTCTTCGGCGTGACGAGCGAACGCTTTAACCACTGGGCTACCCGACCGCACCTGTTCCAAATGAAACTTACTAGATCTTGTTCGGAAATTAAATACACTCAGAGACAAAACTTATTATGACATGGAATTGTTTCATTTGTAATTATGTGAATGATTTAAAAAAAATATCAGAGAAAGACTGTGTTAAAATGGTCGAAGAAACGCAACCAAGCACTTGTTGTTCGCCTTTATATCCAGATTTTAGTGTTTTAAGTTGACAACAATTAAGTTGTTTCAAGTCGTGTTTTTGTTCACCTAGGCAATGATGTTGCAGTTGACTCACCACATCTGGCTGTTGATCCTGTTCCTCTTGGGGTCCGTCAACATTCAAGGGAAGGTATGACCATGACAACCAAATATCAACAACATACACAGAAATGCTCCATGTGAACTATCATATTGGTATATGTTCACATTGAATATTTCCAATCAAATTACATGAAACGACACAGCTTCATGAAAGTTGACATTTTGAAATGGTTATATTTGCTTAACAAAGGTTATCATTTGGCAATATATATCATTCATATATTACAATGTGTGAAGCCTATAAGCGCCGTAAAATCATACTCACTTAAGTAAGCAAGACCTATGTTACATATTCAATCAAGATCACTGAACTCGAGAAGTTGACATATCTACATGAACCAGTTCACGGTTAAACTTTTGGTGAAAGAAATATTTCTTTCAGTGATATACCTGTTGTGAACATAATGTTCACAAGATATAAAAATAAAGAATTTAGCCAAAAGCAACAATAGGTTAAAGACATCATCAGTATTTATATTCTCTTTCAAACCAAGGCCAATAAGCTGAAGGTCAAATTTCAAATCGTGGATATGTGGACATTTTCATTTAGAAAGCTGGTATCTGACAGACACTCGTGTAGTAATCTCTATTTCCTACACAGTGATTCGGTCGCTTGCTTCAGGGAATGCAAATCGTATTTTCACCCTTTGACATTTGGTCATGTGACCCAAATTAGCCAATCACAACACAGAACACACTTACAATAGTGATTGTCAGAAACCTTGAACGTCTTTATTCTCTCAAAATCAAAGAATAATTGTTTTTGTTACTGCACATTGACAAAAGTTTCTAGATTCAGTTAAAACTTCTTGGTTGCACCTGAAATCAGGTTTGGTATATTCAGCGCTGTCATCTGCGTTAATTTTATTTAATGACATTTTAACTGTTAGCTGGTATTTTATACTATTTAAATCATCTAGCGCTTCATTAATGTTGCTCGATACGATGGGTTTAACATCATTAACATCCATGTTGGAATTAATATCCATCTTCCAACCCCTTAGATATTTACCAACGGCATGATCTGTGGGTACAAATGTTAACTCGGTAGGGTGATTATTATCAACAACTGGTTAATTATTATCAACAACTGTTTGGTTACTTATCCAGTAAAGCAATCAATTCAGCTGTCCTCATTCTTGAGCTTTAAGTTCTCTAACAGTCTGGGGTTTGTTGTATTCCAAACCGAGTAAGGTAATCAATTCAGTCTTTCTCATTCGAGAATAACAACTTAGTCCATGCTGTTTTGCCAAAGCTTTCACCTCTCTGACATAAGCCTTTGCATTATTTTGATATACACGCTGTGTGTATCAACACTGCTCCCATGATACATGTTACATTACACCTGCATAGCCATAGCAACCGTACACAACATGGAGTCTGTACTAGGAAATGCACTTTACAAAGTACTTTACACTTTAGAGAGATAGAGGGGACAATTAATAAGTAGGTAGGGGTATGGGGTGTCCAAAACCAAAACCGAAACGTAAAAGGATATTTGATACAGGGTGACTAGGTGTATTGTGTACAAGCTTTATGAGCAGAAAGTACCACCGGTGACTGAGCAGTTTTCAGGGGGAAATATTCCATCCTGTCTATGAGGTCACATTATCTCCACACCATTCATAACTATCACAGTCAGCGCTTCCAGATCATTTACCATGATGAATCATTCCACGGACTACATGTGGCTATTGGCAGATGGACAAAAAGTACCCATATACCATCAGGTAAAGGTAATCGTGATATTGTTTTGCACGCTGCAAACTGTGATCTGGGGCGTATTGATGGATGTGTGCTTGTTTTCGAGGTGAAAAAGAAAATTGGTGATTTCCATAAATAAATTGTAGGAGGAGATATATTCATTAGGTGGTTGGAACATCAGCTATTGCCCATTTTAAACAACGTCAGTGTCAGAGTCGTGGATAACGCAAGTTAATACAACGTCCGGGAACCAGACACAGTCGTGCCAACCATGAGCAGACTGAAGGCGACCATACAGGAATATATGACATTGTTGACATCAGACCATCTGAAAGGAAAGTCCATGGAGAAAATTCGGCTGAATATGAAACCAGTAAAGTACAAGACATATGTGCTGGCGACACAATACGGTCACGTTGTCTTCCGTACTCCAGTCTGGCATTGGGAGCTCAACCCTGTTGAGCCTATCTTGGCTGGCTGTACAGGGTTCATGGCAAGACATAACACAACAGTCAAACTCACACATGTCAAAGGGAGGATCAACGCAGTCTTTGCTAGCTATCAGCCTTGTTGAACCAGTTATCATACCTTTGGGTGATAGTACAGATTCATATACGTCATCAGCGGAGACAGATGCTACCTCAAGAAATCATACTTCTTGATTCTAAAACTGCAACCTTCCCGTGCACATCCCGTTTCATAGCTTTTGACTATTCCACCATTTATCCAAGCAAATATAATCCAGTACATATCCTAAATTACTACCCCATCAACGCACATGTCAATTAAGTACAATAACAATAATATTTTGAGGCCACCCCCAACTCGGGTGACATTTGCACCTGTTAGAATGCACAGGCCGATGTGAGGTCATACCTTCGGGACAGTGTCAGGTAATTACCTCAGGTTACAGGCCGTCTCATACATGCATGACAACACACGAATAGTTTCATCATACAGTTTATCATCATTTTACCTGTAAAAGTACATTTTTAGGGTAATCACAGTGTCAGTTAGGATAAGCTATATCAGGTTAATTTGCGTTACTTTGGTATATGCTATTTTCATAGCCCTATGACTCGTATTTATCAAATGAAGCATGAAAAGCATTTTTCCAGCATTTCCGACAGTACTTTAGTGCATTGGGAGCCCAAGTTTTAATCCGTTCAGCTTGTGTACTGTGTTCAGTGTGTTAGCTGTGTAGTAGTTTTGTCTTTCTGGCTTAAGCACCCTTTTAACCTGCCGCTACCTTTGGGGGGTTCTTAGTCACTCTCACATCTTGTGCTGTTTCCGCATTCACTTGTGACTTTCCCAATTCCATTATTTTTAGGTGGAGACTTATGTTTTAATTGACAGTACTTAGCCGTTATTATAGCGGCGGTAAATGATGCTAAGAACATTTCGTATCTGTCATAAAACTCAAAGCTTACTGTACTTAAAGCATGGTCAATAAATGGGTCTTTCTCGTGAGATACAGGCGATTTTCTGGCAGGAAAGGAAGAAACATACCAGCTACAGCTGTGTATAGTTGTACCATAGCCGAAGCTTTTGTTTTAGTCATGGCAGCTTCCAGTTTAGACTCGTAACGAGCGGATATTTTTTTTTAATTCTTCGTCTGACATGTTATCATTTTTTTCAGTGGTATAAGTTTCCTCCAAGTATTGGGAGCATTTTCCACAAGCTACCAAAGCCGCAAGTCTTCCTCTATGTTGTTCTAAAGATTTTTTTACTATAGGTTCTGTCTCAACTTGGAGCAGTTGTTCGAGAAGTTCATCACATTCCATCTTTTTAATGTAATACACAAGCCGATATTTAAGTCTAATAAAATAAAATATGACATATCCAATACAGCCGGAAATAATAAACTGTTTATGAGTATTTCCGACCACATTATTGTGTATACAAATAGTTTAAAGTGTTCAATTTACTACATTTTGTTATATATTCACTGCAAAAAAACCCATATATACAAGCTTGTATATGCTTTGGAAAGATGATATTTCCAAAGGATATACAAGATTGGAATGATGATATATACAAAAATATACAAGTTTGTATATATGACATATACAAAAATATACAAATTTGTATATATGGTATATCCAAATTTGTTTTCTTTGTATATATTGGTAAAGGGAGATAATTGTTATGTATTTGTGTATAATTATTATATATATGTGCAAATTGAAGTGTTTGAAGTTGAGCACTGTGTTTCTTTGTATATGTTTGTAAAGGAGGATAATTGTTTTATATGTGCAAAATAGTATCAGCAAGCTACAAAAAACTGATATAGTGGTGTGTAACATTACTGGAATGATTAATTAGTACTCCACGCTGTTAGCGGGAGTACATACTCTCCTTGCAATGATATTGACGGGTAAACGATTTAGGCGTCACACAGAAATTGTTAATAATCCAATAATGACTTTTTTATGATAAAGTTGTCTTTTATAAGTGAATGAGATGTTTTACAGTTGTTCATGTGAAAAAACTATGAATATTTATTCAGCGTCCGAAAACCCATAGCACGGGGATATATGTTGTATTAATGTTTTATGTATTTCAAAAGATAATAAGTACAAAGGTATGCTTTTCTCAATATGCTTCAACATGGGGAAAGGGACATTGCACGTTTGTGGCAGTATTGCTCCCAGGTGGCGTCCTCGTCCACTAATGCCTACATCCACTAATGCCTACGGCCCACAATAAACAAAGTCATGCACCAGTGATTTTCAGCGACACCTACTATCAGTGCATCATTTCTGCATCATTGCATTAGTTCTTATAGTATATACACCAGCAGTTAATGATTTCAAAGAAATTTCAAAGAGTTCATTCCTAGCATGGGTATGTTGTTTTCATTGTGTAGGCATTATTCAACACTGTTTTGTTTGTTTGTAGGCAATAGTAACTGTAGGCAAAAGTGGACTTAGGCATTAGTGGCTGGAACCCAGGTGGCCGGGTGCTCAGAAACTATTCCCGATTTTTTAAAAGTACTGATTTAACTCCGAAATTTTACATCCGCCATCTTTTTTTTTTTTTACTTTTGCCACTGTTACATTTGTTGGTATGAATATTGTCCAAACGGCACAAAATTGCTTAAAATGCAATCAAATGTTCAAAACATTTCTTGGGGCTCAGTCTTATATTGTTAGCAAAGTCAACAAACTACGACCATAAATGTAATGTACAACAGGCGCAAGAAAATTAAAAAAAATTCTTACAAATACAAATGATAAGAAGTCGAATATGAATACTTATACCTGTACTTTTTAGAACAAGAAATTGACACATTGACGTATTCAGATTAAATTGATATTTTTT